ATATAATGTTACTCATCATCTTACATTCTCTTTCATATTCATGTACAGTTGTTTCTTTTTCTTTTTTTTTATTAAAGATTTTTGTTTTCATTTCAAATTCAATCTATATGCACATGAAATCTCTTTTTCAATTTCATTTTCACATATTCAAATTTAAATTGTTTCAGACAACATCTTTCAAATGAGATTCTCGGGCTGTTTTTGAGTTCTCCTAATAACCACGGTTATCCATGTCAGTAAGTAAAAAAACTAAGTTCGATGTACTTATGAGAGGTGATATCAGCAAACTGATATTCACGTGTGTCTACCAGACGTACTCTCCTCAAGTTAAATTGTGTTCTGATGGCAATTAATAAAATATAAACCTCAAATGGTTTTATAATCGCGATAGAACCCTTGTCATTGTCAATGGTAGTCCGCTCCCATTTTGATACTTCGACCCCTGAAAATGAGCTGAAATACATTGATCTTTCTACCGGGTCATTAAATACGGGAGCTATTGTTTTGATTATACATATACGACTTCCATTCCAGGAAGTGACGTTAACCGAATTTTAAGAAATAGGGTGTGGATCACTCTTCAATTAATGTTCGATTGCCTGTCTACTATTCTATCACTTTCTAATCTGATAAGAGATGCGTATATAAAAGGAGAACAGAGATAAAACTATATCAAACATGATTTTCTCTGTTTGCCTTTTGGGCTCTGCCCTGCTGTTGGCCAATGCAGATCCGATCAGGTATAGTAGTTTCTATTCGTATAGTTGAAGAATGTTTAACTTCATTGTTTCAGAATTCCTCTGAACAAAGTTCAGCATGATCGCTCTAGCTACCATTTCAAGTCAATTGCTGAATACACCAAGCAGAGATATATTCCAGGACACAAGTTTGATCCCCTTGAGGCTTATTCTGAGGGTCTTTCTGACTATTCTAACGTTGGTTCAATCTGAAACTACACACAGCAATCATCTACTTGCAGGCTCAATATTATGGATCTTGCCAAGTTGGAACCCCACCACAAAACTTCCAAATTTTGTTCGATACTGGATCATCCAACTTCTGGGTACCATGCTCTGACTGTCCAGCCAGCAACCTTGCTTGCGATTTCCACACCAAGGTAAAAGATGAATAACTTCGTTATTGAATAAAATGTTCAGTTCGATTGCGACAAGTCTAGCACTTGCACCAAGACCGGAAAGCCTTTCGAAATTGCTTATGGCTCCGGCTCCATGAAGGGAGTTGTTGACACTGATGTCATTTGCGTAAGTTCATGTCAAGTAAAATGAAAAACATATTTTCCCGATGTTTATAGTTCGGAACTGACCACGCTTTCTGTACTGACAAAACTCAAGGACTCGCTTGTGCTGAACAAGAGCCTGGTCTTGCCTTCGTTGTAAGATAGAGTTTCCAAAGAAACCAAATAGTTATTTTATCGTTTAGGCTGCTAAGTTTGATGGTTTGATGGGAATGGCTTGGGACTCTATCTCAGTCAACGGAATCGCTCAACCTATGGACCAAATCTTCGCCAACACTGTAAGAAAAAAATATGGCAAGCATGATATGACTTTATCAATTTAAGGCTATCTGCAAAAACCAAATCTTCTCATTCTGGCTTAACAGAGATGTCAACAACACCGTCACTGGAGGAGAATTGTCCTTGTGTGAAAGCGATCCTAACCATTTCACTGTACCACCTTCAGCTGTTAACTTTTCACAAATTATACTTTAAGGGACCAATCGCCTGGGAACCACTCAAATCTACCGATTACTGGAGAATCAGACTCGGAGCTGTCAATGTTGGAACCACTCAAGTAAATATTCAGAGCAGTTCAAGAGTTTATCTATAAATTTTAGATCACCGGACCCGTTGACGCTATTGTTGACACTGGTACTTCTCTCTTGACTGGACCAGCTGATCAAATCAAACAGGTTAGCTGTATAAAACAGATTAGATAAACCGATTGTTCTATATTTAGATCCAACGTAAGATTGGTGCTTTCCCCATCCTCGGAGGAGAATATGAAGTTGAATGCAGCCGTTTGCCAAAAATGCCAAATGTCACCTTCAACCTTGGAGGACAAGACTTCGTTCTTACCCCATACGACTACGTTCTTCAAGTAATTAACAATGACTGAGTTCTGAGGCTGAATGCTAAAACTTTTCAGATGGTCTCTAACGGACAAGAATCTTGTGTATCCGGATTCATGGGATTGGATATCCCAGCTCCTAATGGTCCACTCTGGATTTTGGGAGATGTCTTCATTGGCAAATTCTACTCTGTCTTCGACCACGCTAATAAGAGAGTTGGATTCGCTCAAGCTAAGAGCATCTAGAAATTTTTTTTATAATTCTTAACAAAATTATATTTTAATAAAGATCAGAACATTTATCAGTGATTCTTTATCTTTATTGCATCATATGGGTAGAGCAGCTGCACATATATGATGTGATGACGTCCGGTAGTATTATCAATGAGCCATGATAAGAATTGAGAGAATACATTTTACGAGCAAGTACGTTATCATCACGTTGAACGAAAACGAACAATCTTGAAGGGATTCTCAATGTATCAAGTAACCAGAAAAAAAAGAAAATTCATTGGTTTTATTTATTATTAACAGTTTATTGATGAGTATCAATTAAAGAAACATCGAATATTTGCTATTTGTGACGTTGTTTTCTGATTCCACATTCCGCAAAAGACATAATTGTGTCTCAGTCAAATAAGGACATTATATTATTTTCCCAATGATTGGCCAGCAAGACTGTCGAAATACCTGAAGACGAATATTTCATGTGGTATTGTCATTATGAGTACCTCTTCTCCAGGTTCATGACTGCTTCTCTCGGATAATATAGTGATCCTCCATTCTTGTTATTGGTTAACAGGGCGTAAGCAGGATATGCTGGCTTGTCATATTCAACAAAGGCATTGATGCGCTAAGATGTATTACGTCATTAATGAACAATTGATATTATCAAGTCGTTACCTTATCAGCATATATGCAACAAGCTACAGCACAGAAAATGAACATCAGAGAGAAGCACTTCATATTGTCAGAGAATATAACTGAAAATGGTCCAAGGTATATCTTTCCGAGATGACGACTGAATGAGAAAGGTGTATAGTAGGATATTTGAATACGTAATCCTTCCTACGCGTAACAAAAACGAAATGCACAATTATAGTAATAAAAGAGTCAAGATGAAGAAAAAAAACAATCTGGCTATTGTCACGCGAGAGCAGAAAAGTAATGGTTAGACAATGGCAATATCTGTCATTGGCAGTCGTTAAGCAACACCTGGAGATTTGTGACGTTTCGAAATTTACATTGTAAAAATTGAGAAAAAAGAAACAAAAATAGACGTGAAAAACATTATATTATTCAAGTTTCCATTTAATTGGTTCACATTACAATAACATGAACAGATTTGGCTAATGTTACTTCTATGAAACAATGACTTGTTTTTCGTGTGTCTACCCCCCCCCCCCCCCCCCACAAAACTAAAAAAAACTTTTCAAATCTATTCTAAATGCTGTTCTCTAAAAAAATATATATCCATCTATATATCTATCTAACTATATATATATATAGTATAGTATATGTGTATAGGTATAGGTTTGGAAGGAAAACAGAAAGACAGTAGAGTGAATGAGAACATGATGTGTGTGAATTGAACGGCAATTGCTATTTCATGAATAATCTAACATACGAGGTATTAAATGAAAATCATTACGTCAATGGGCTACGTAACGAAGCTAGCCATTAGATGTCTATGGTCAATTTGATACATTCAATAATCATAATGTAACAAGTGACAGTAAATGACAGATGGCTTGTCGTAACATCGGTTTGAAGCTCCAGCGAATATATATGAGTTAACTTACCTCCATTTCTCACTTATAAATCATAGTAAAGAGGTGGAGCTAAGCATGTGAATGTTACAAGAAGCGTCATTATTGCAAATAATATGAATAAGCACTTGATTAGCAATAGTATAATTATGGAAAATTACATTTTTCATTTGAATATATTGTAAAATATATCAAATGTATATATATATATCAGAGATATGACGAATGAAATGATAATGAATGAAGAAAGCTGCAATTGCGTCATCATCCAAGGAGGAAGAGATCATAAACTATATCCTTATATATAGATATCTATATAGGATACTATAACCATATGTCTGATTGATGAATACTTAATTTTCAATTGAATTCATAGTGAATAGGAATGTTTCGAAATTTTCTCAGAATATACCTATTGTGAATTCGTCAACTATATGAAACTCTGTAGGGCAATATGGTTATAGGAAAGTTTTAAAACTTGAATGAGCTAAACATGAGGAGAGGAAGGGAAGAGGGGGTGACAAGTTGATGGTATGACACAGTAATAGGCAAAGGCCTTTAAGAACACTCCAATAAAGGTCTTAACAAGAATATTACTTTGCAAAACTACAAACTAACAAACTATATATCATATAGTTAACATCTCGTGATCATAAAATAGTTTTCCTCATTAAATAATCATCTTGTAAAGAAGTAATGGTCGACAACCATCACAAACATTTCTCAGAAAATGTAAAGCAGCTGTCAAGTTTTTTTCATTTTTTTTTTCATTTTTCTGATAAAATGAATGATTAATTTGATATTACGTTAGATGAATACATAATTTTCATCTTTCGAAATATTTTCTGAAAAATTTTGGATAAAAAACAGTTTTTTTCTTTCAATTATCAGGTTCTGATGAAGAGAGTGGATGAGGGATCGAAAGAGGTAAACGTCATCTCTTTTTTTTTTTTGTAGACGAAAGAAAGAATGAAACAAAGAATAAACATTCATTTGGATAGAGACATTCATGAAGTTATAATCAGTTATAATTAAACAACTCATTAAAGAAGATAACCAATCATATCATTGAGCTGTATTGTGTGGTTGTGTGTGTGTGTGTGGGTGTTTGCAAAAGACTGTGGTTGTGTTTATCCCCGAATATCTATAACCTATCAAGTATCTAATCAATAAATATCATGTGGGTTATGATGATGATCTCTGCCACGAAGAACAGCCAACAGAGGATGAATTGCTTCTTGTAGATCCTTAATACATGCATTGTGAGGAAGTTCATTTTACTTCAGTTAGCTTACACGGAAGTATCTTTCGAATGTGGCAACACCATGAGTGAAGTACAAGTTATGCTTCAATTTACTAACTGAATGATTGCTTGGGAGGAAGCCCAAGTTGTTAACCTGAATATTCAAATTTGATTAAACTTGTTTCCAATTCAATCATTCTGATGAATATGCATTAAAATTTCCAAGTACCTTGTAATACTCAAAGAATCCCACATTAGCTGCTGTCAATGCTCTAATGGCTGTTGGTTGGGGTAAAACCTGAATAGTTCAATCATTTTGTTTGCTTCACTTCACAAACTTCGGAATTTGTTATGATGGGGAGAACGTTAGTCTTCAAATCGTTTCCAAACAAACGTTTAACGTAAGCTAGCTCGCCAATGAAAGGCCAGGCCATACTTTTTATGTTTGTGTTCAAAACAATTGAAATGGCATCAATACGAGCTGCACCAGCAGTCAATAGTTCCTGAAATAGAAAACAATAAATGGAAAGCTTTTTATGACACTGAAACTTGTTGAAGCCATTTCTCAATTAGATGAGAAACAAATGTGTTGTTCTCTTGATCAGGGACTCCTGGTGTATCAATAAGAGTGACTGAGTAAGGAAGGATAGAGTTGTTGATCACATAAACAGTCAACTCAGTTGTTTTGGATTGATTAGGTGTCAAAGTGAATCTGCAAAGAAACTGTTTTCATCACTAAACAGTATTCTCACCTAAAGTCGTGTTCCTTCTTAACATCGAACAAATAGTTCAGAATGCTGTTAACAGTTGAGGTCTTTCCTTGTCCAACAGGTCCAAACAAGAGTACTGTCTGCAAAACAACTCCATCAATTGCTATACTAAGACATCAGTTTACTCTGTCTTCATCAGTTTTGTGAGCATGTCCACCAACAATTACTTTCTTGATTTTCTTGTTCTTTGAATAGTTTACTTGCTCTTCTACCCATGGAGCAATGATTCGGTGGTTATCAATAACACCGATCTGTAATTTTACTTTAACAGTTTTGAAAACTAGTTTAAGATTTCACTTCAGTTCCGTGCTCCAACTGTCTTCCAGCAACTTCGGAAATTTCAACCTCTTCAGCTATATCAATCTCTTCTATAAAAGAAAATTTTGTTCATTCACGCTAATCCATGATCTCTAACTAGCTTGCTCCTCAACAGATGAATTGTTGCTATAGTGATGATCATGGTGATGATGATGATGATGATGATGATTATGAGCATGGCTAGACTCATGATGATCATTTCTATGCTGTTGACGATGAGAATAGTTGGAGTGACGTGAAGATCCAATCTTAAGCTAACAATATTCATATTAAGAGGCACACACAAACAACCGTACTCTAACAGCCATTTCGAAGGGAAGAACATTCAGAAGTCAACATAGGGAGAAGAAACAAGGGGAGATCATTGCACATGACGAGAACGTGTATCACAAAGACATTAGGCGCCTTTAGGCTTGCGCACCTCTTCTCTGCATTGATCGGCCAGAGCATTGACTTCATCACAAGCTTTTCTTACTTCTTCCGTTTTGAGAGTGATCTTAAAAGCAATAATGAAATACAGATTATCAATCAATTCCTACAAGTCTTTCATATTCGGCTTGGTTTAGTTTCGTTTGTCTGAGAGCAGCGTTCACCAACTCAAGGTGCAAGTTTTCATGTTGAATATCAACATTCTTGTGACCAGCAACAAGAGGATGACGATATTCGTTTGATTTTCCATTGGCATGGGAATGGTGGTCATGATGCTTGTGTGTACGAGCCTACAATGTCAACATGTTGAAACATGACATATGATAGCAGAGCGTTTACCGGCTTGGGGCGCTGATAAGCTACCTCGTTATGGTTCAAATTGATTTGCGAGCCCTGCAATTATCATTGCTATTTCTAATAAAGTCAAAAAAGCAAACTAATTCTCTGCCATTATCATCAACGAGATCAAATCCCCCCACACGTGACACATGAGCGGTAGTTACAGTGTCAAAAGTCATGCTTCGTCCTATATAAGGTTCTCATTTTATAATTTCAAATTTCAATTTTCTGTACCTCGCGGCTCTCCGTATGAATAAGCGCTGTTTCGTTTTTCTGATCTTGCTTTGAAATCGCTTGCCTGAGTTCTAGCTCTGCTGTTTCCGCTTACAACGCTGGTGTTCTTGCTGACGCGATTGCTGGCAACTGGAGTCTTGTGATGAACACTTTGAACATGGCTTCCATGATGGCTTTCAGGTTGGCGGTGAGCTCCAAAATGGCTATCATAATCACTTCCACGGTGGCTTTCAGATTGACGGTGAGCTCCGAAATGGCTATCATATCCACTTCCACGGTGGCTATGACGTTCGGATTGTTTGGTGTGATGAGCCGAAGATCGTCTACTGTAGACAGATTCTAAACTATGATGTTTAACAGCAAAAAAAAGTCAATAGTCTACCATCATCGCCGATGCCTTCGAAAGCATGTTCCACTTGGCTGACAAAATGCTCTGGATGCAAATCGGCACTGTGTCGGTTGTGTTCACTTCTGGCTTCATGAGAGTAGAAACCATCATCATGGTAGTAATCATTATTGGCTGTCTTAGTCAAAATAACAGGCTCAAGTTTGACAGCAGCAAAAACCTTTGAAAAATGTTGTATCTAGATAGTATGTTGTGAAAATGTACCGATTCCATCAAATCATCAGCGATGGTGTCATAGGCTTTATAGTTATGATTCACTTCTGGGACGTGAGTATGATGATCATCATGGCCATGGTCAACATATAGGTGATCACTGACGGTTGAAACCTTCCAATTATTGATCATTTAAAAACATCTGTCAATAACAATGTACATACCACTCTTTCATCTCCATGAGTATGAGTAGTTTTATGAATGGATTCATGAGTTTCTCTGCGATTAGACACTTTATGGGTTTCTTCATGATGAGTGGAAACTGTAGTCGACTTCAAAAATTGATTATTCAATTGATATATTATATATTGAGAGCTTACATCCGGTGGTGCCGAAGCAAAGATGAGGTCCATATCGAGGTCAGTGGAAGCCATATGCAAGTCTCTAAAGTATAAATAATATATTTGAAACTTAACAATAAGCAAAACAATTCAATAAATGATTGCACAAAAAGACGATGCCAATGTAAAACCAAAGACTAAACTTTAACCGATAACACACAGAGAAAGAGATAATAGGCGATGCAGAAAGGCGCCAAAGTGAGTGCGTGGGTTAGAGATAACATGTAATGAAGAGAGTCATAAAAAGAATTATACAAATGTTATTAAGATAGTTATATATAGTATAATAGTATGAAGAGAGTAGTTAGACTGTTAGGAACTGATAATGACGCTCATGCAGTTTGCTTCCTTAATACAGATTTAAGCTCTATACCATATACATTCTATCTGATATGTTTAGTATTGAAGTAAAAAGCTCTTATCAATGCCACGACGTTTAATTCATCGTCAGTTTGTTCTATTTGCTTACTTTATAGCACACACTGATAATTATCTGAATGTTTTAAATATTAAATATTGAAAGAAATTTAAGTATACGAAAGTATGGGGAAGTATCAAAAATATTTTTCAAAAATTATAAAAGAAGATAATTATAATTATATGAGAATAAGGATTATTGACACTGCAAGAGAGGAATATTGAGATCATTGTTGTCTATCTGACTCATCTAGTAGACACATTTCAATAACATAGGTTTTCCCCCCCCCCCCTCTCTCTATTTTCACAATAAAACCTGTATTAAGTAGTATTACTATAGACCTACAATTTATAAATAATCTTTAAAAACTCATTGATTGTTGTACAGAGTAAAATAATAATTCTCTTTTCTGTTGTTTATTTATTATAAGATATATTTTGGAACAAAATCCATTTTTATAACCAAAAACCATATTTGGCAACAGATATCGAAAATTAAAAATCAGATAGGAACTCTTTTTTTTTTTTTTTGTAGAGAATCCATTGGAAACAATCTCAAACAGATGAGACGAGTAGGTGGATAACCCGGAGTGTATCTACTAATCTCGCAACCACTGTATACGTATAATCCGAACAAAAATGAAAATGAGATTTGTGTATAGTCATTTGGCATCTCTCTATCACAACTCATTCAGATCAGTTTGATTGAAAAAAAGCAAATAGCAGTTAAAGATGCTTCAATTCAAACAAACTGTTCGATATGTGAGTTCATGTGTTGGATTATTTCTATGTTTTATTATACTATATGATTATATGGAAACTAAAAAGCTATTACAACGAACATCATCTGGAACATTTGATATTTCACTACTACGTGCTGGCTCATTTGTTAAAAGACACAAAGTGTACCGTTATTTAGAGAAGGAACAACAAACTGGAAAGGAGAATATGAATGATATAGAAACAATCAAATTGTTTAACTCTGATGTAAGTTATCTATACATATAGTTTATATAGCTAACATCATATATCTTTATAGCCATTGCCATCAAGAATCAATCATAAGTCAGCTCATGAAATTTGCTCAAAAAAGAATGCATGTGTTAAGAAATTTCGTCAAATAGAAACAAGAATCAGGGTATTGACATATTTCTTTTAATTATATCATATAATTATATTTATTAACTATATGAAGGTATCAGAGCAATATAAGATGCTTACATGTATTGTACAAAAAAGTATGTCAACTATAATGACAGCATTATTCTGCTTTTTATATGATGAAAAGAGATTTGAATCAAAAAGCAGCGGATTCTTTACTGAATGGAGCAAATATAGGTAATACTATATGATATAGTTATATATATAATATAATATATATATGTTATAGGTTATGTCAAGGAATGAATGAGTATAATGATTTAAGAAAAACACGTCAATTGTTAAACATCACTCGACCAGATAGGGCGTGGTCGTTTGTTATGTTGACTCGCGATCCTATTGAGCGTTTTATCAGTGGTTATGTAGACAAATGCATAAGGTTCAGTTGCTTATAATATTATAATCAATCAATAACTAATATGTTATAGAAAGCCATGGGGCCATTTGCCGTGCAACGGATGTCATAAGAATATGACATGCTTCATTGAAAGAGAATATGAAAAAATGCTTAAAGCATCTCAAATAACTCGACCAAAAGCGTCATTTGAAGATAAGCACTTCTTCCCTCAGAACTGGTATCTCTAACAGCTCAAATGATTATCAGTTAATGATAACTTTTCAGGAGATGTAACTTAAAAACTGATTATAAGAGTTACAAATTTATAAAATATTCAAGTTCAGATGTTGATGGATTTCTCGATAAATTCATTCCAATGGCGATCGATCAAAGAGTGAGTTCATCTCAATCATATCTCTCATAAAGTACTTTTAAAGGTTCCAAATAACTCTATAATGTATATAAGTAACCAAATGAATACAAATCGAACTGTACATAGTACTGTTGCCTCGACAACACGCCAATACTTGGAGAATCGTCTTCGTTCATCTCCTTATCTCATGGAATATATTGTTCGGATGTTCTACTATGATTTTTTACTTTTTAATTACTCATTTCCAACCGGTTTCTGATAGTATATAGGATTTAGATACTTATTATATATAGATATAATATATATATATATATATATATATGTAAAATGATGCAGATGTATGAAATAAATGATACCATCAAACATCTCTTCAATTCATCTCTGACTCATATAAAGAGAGAGGGAAAGAGAGAGAGAGAGAGATTGTGTGGGAAAGTTGTGATCAATGGTATAGGAAGTTAACAGACATCTGATACATAATTGTTCTCGGGACAGATATCATACGGCTGAGGTACGGTAGCTGGCCGTACCTTCATGCTTAGACGTAAGAGTTGGAGGACAAAGTTACAGAGGTCTTGGACTCTTGCTTGAACATGAGGAAGTTTTCGTTGTGACTCTCCATCAACGTAGTAAAGGATTCTGCCATCTTCTCGAAATCTTGATCCCTGCCAGTCTCCTTCATGACTAGTGGTCAGACGACTAGGCCTTTGTCAGTTTCTTTCATTTGAATAGGTGGTTATCCCCGAACGGCAGTCATGTGAGTAGAGCTTCTTATGGTTCGCTGTGGTTCAGAAATTAAAAAAACAATATCGAAATTATTTATTATAATTTACTTGTTTGTTAAGAATGAAAAAAAGGATTTTTTTTGAAACAATCCATGGATCATGAATATGTACATAATAAACATGAAAATGATACGATATGTATAAGAAACAATCAAAACCGGATCAATAAGGGAATAACTCATATAGCATATCAGCCATAGCATATAAGATAAGTGAATACAAGTATTAATCAATAATAGAAAAAAATGATATTCTGTTCTTCTAAATGATTCTTTCGGATTGGATGATATGTGTGTGTGTATGTGTGGATGAAGAGCCATTTACCGCTAGTTACATGCTATGATGATCAAAATAACTTATAATTAGATATTTTCAAAAGATGATAAGTGAATGTAGATGATATTGCAGAAAATCTCTTCACTTCCCGCACAAACCCTATTTTTCAAAAAACCCAATCGAGATAATGCACACAACAAGAAGAAAAGTATTGAGGAAAAAGAAGCAGAACGGATGAGTCTTGTTAGATTTCCGAAACATATACGGATGACCCGTTGAAAAAGGAACAAGTAGCTAAACATAGTAAATGCTAGCATTCGTAGTAGAAATATGATAATTCAAGAGTAGCTAAACCTTTTGCTATTAGTTATATCGAAATGTAAGTCTGATATACAGTTGTGTTCACAGTATTCAATGATATTTAAGAATAGATTAGAAAGGAGAGAGAGAGAGAATATGAAAAATATATTCTAGAGTGGTATATCCATTTCTTGTTCAGTCTATGAGTTTTAAAAAAAAAATGAAAAGAAGTCAACTAGCGACAAGAAATGATTATGTGATGAAGTGCTTAAATGTAAGGAAAAAGATATAAACTATAAAGGAATACTTCGTTTTCATACAAGAGAGGGGGAGAGAGGGAAGGAGAGAGAGAGAAAGAGAGAGAGAGAGATAACCGTATGCATATTGTTGTTCTTATATTACAATGAAATTTGTAAATGTCTATATTATATATACCGTATCTTCTATTCGATTACTTTCTTACAATTTTGTATATCCGTTTTGCATATATATCATATGATATAACTGAAAATGATCTATTATATAATTAACTATATCATATATATATACTAACCACATATAGTAAATTAAAACTATTCCACAGCTGTTTCAGATGAAGTTTCATTATCGGATTCTTCGTCCCCACTTGAGCATGGTAAGAATGGATGTACCAAACTCAAATAGCATAAATTGCATACACGAACCTATAATTATATATTCTCAAATATTATTTCGATCCATTTCAATATGCTTTCAATCTCCATTACCCTCTCTCTCTCTATATGCCTCTCTATCTCATCTGGCTAGTTGGTAAATTGCTTTACAACATACCCGACTATCATAACCCAAGTCCGGAATTTCAATGCTTTTTCTGCTGCAACTTCCGCAAAAAATTCGTCCACAATTGCGACAATGATGTCGACGACGTATGAATGTGAAACTACTGTAGCAAGAAGTGCATTGAGATACATCATCATCAGGAACCCATCGTACTCCTGCAAATACTAATCCCGTAAACATGTCGTTTTAATCCTTCTGAACTAATACAACCAAAATGTTACAAAACGTTTTAAACCTTTCGAAAATACTAATAAAGACTTTTTTGGATTCCAAAAAGAGATTTTTGGATGAATGATTCAGTTCATCTCTTAATAGCCGTATACTTACCAACATAAGGAGGCATTGGAAGATGTTCATTCACTTCTACACCAGTTTCTTCTTCATTGTTTGCCGTTTCAGCAGTTTGACCATGAATCTTCAACAAAAAAAAGTTAAATTGAATAGAAATCCCCGAAATTCTAACATTTGAAGGTAAAGTTCTTACTTCATCAACAGGTAATGAATCTTCGGTTGGAAAGAGAACCATTTTCAGAAGTTTGCGAACATCTGACGAATAGTTGGTTTGTAATTGATCAGCAACAGCTGAAACGCACACAAATATTCTGAAAATATAAATAAATAATGTAATCTGATTCTGTGATGTTTGAAACCTATGAATCATATCATCTGATGATACGTAACGAATACGAAAATCTCCGGATGTTCTGAAATAGAATTAAGGTTTCTTTTTAATTTCGAAATATCAAAAACCTCAATGTTTTTGTGACGCTTTTTGTGGCTTCTGCTTCTTCAACAACTAGCTCATGAGTTTCGGCTTTTGAATCACTAAAGGTCGATAATTCGTCCTCGCTTGGTGGAGGTGTATTAGCATTCCTTTCCACACACACAAGTTCATCCAATGGATTATCTTGAATACCACGAATGTCTTCTCGACCACATAAATCAAAACGATCACTTCGTTCAACACAGAATGCTTCAATTGTGTCATCAGCATTTGTGTATTCAACAGCAAAGCACAGTCCAGCTCCTTGCTCATTCTCATTTACATGATCTTCATCTTCCACTGCCCCACTATCGTTATCGTCCTTTACGACATTTTCCATTTTCGAATCATTGTCCGCGTTCTCCGTGGTTTGATCTTTTCGAGCGCGAATGAAAAGCTGGAATTAGGACGTTTGAACTATAGAAAGTGCAACTGTAATCCCTTCTCTTCCCCCTCTCATATGACACGGAATTAGATGTTAGAACTATAATTGGACCAAATACGATGACAGATGTTAGTACATGTTATATATAATTGCGTTCAAACATAGATTATTAGTTTTAAAAAACAGGACAGGTGTTAAACTATACCTTTACCTTGCTGCTATTATCGTCATTAAAATCGAGAGCGCTCTGCTTGTTTTTTGCACTTTCATCTTCTCCTGAGCACAATATATTCTCTACCTGAAATCAAAGATTGAATTACAATTGAGAAAGAGAGATTAGCATACAGCTGATAATTCTGCTACAGTTAGTACTTTCAATAGTTTCTTGATATTCTGTAGTAATGGAATGTATGGTCGAAACATGTCTGATAGTTCATTTTCAGCTCCAGGATCGAGATTCAGTGCTCCTTCAGGATAATGCAATAAGCCCCTGAAAATGAAATTTGCATAATTAAATCGTTTACGATGTGTATGACAGGATTTTTAATTTTCTTTTTTCTTCTACTTCTATTAGCATATTCTATTTAGAATGCCAATTGATTTATGATCATCATTTGCCCCCATTTCGTTCACTTACCACAAAACAGCTAGACGAGGAATTATAAACATAACTGCTGGATCGAAATATTCAATTTGCTCTTGTGTAATATAATGACAACGAAGTGCTCGTTGCAAAGTATCAGCAAATAGTACGGCAATCAATTGTTGAGCATCATGTTCGCGTGATGTTTTAACAGAAACCATTGCGCTAACATATCTGAAAAGAAACAATGTTTATATTTCCACACTAAACATATATAAAACATACTGAAATTCAAAGTTGGCAAACATATGATCGAATAATAATAATGATTTTTTAATTTCATGGGTATATTCGCGAGGATTACGTAATGCTTGGTCCTGTAACAATCAGTGTTCAACATTTTTTTTTAATATTTGTATATAGTTTGTACTTTGAGCATGCTGCGCAAATAATCCAAATGAGCTGTTACAGCTTTTGCTAGTGGACGTATACATTCAGATTCAAATTCGTGGTCTACAATATTGGATCCAGCTGATAAGCACTTAAAGATTCATATAGATTATAATGTGATGACGTCAACGGATATTCCATTACCTCTGCTCCAAACCATAATTGCCCAGGAAGATTGTCATGAACTATCTCATCCGGAAATTTTGCTCGAAAATCTCTATTAGCTCTCTCACTCTTGATGGGATATAATATAATAATCATTTCTTCTGAAATAATATTGAAATGAGTCATAAAATAGATGATCATCATCTCTTCTCACCAATAATATGCAATAAACGATCTTGAGCAATTCGTAATTTATGTACAAGTGCAGTACATCTATCTGGATCTCGTTTCCCATCAAACGAATCTAATTCATTCGCTGTAATGACAAAATTTCATTATTAACATCATTGACGATTGGAAGATATGTAAAAAAAAAAAAAAAAGGAAAAAGGAACAGACAGACTGATAGACACTAACATACATACGCACAGACACACGCAGAAAAAAAAAACAGTTGAATACGAACCGATTTCTGTCAAAGCCTCATCAGCGTAATAGAATTTAGCCAGTGGACACCAATCATCTGGTCGTGGTCTGCAGAAAAATTTGCGAAGAGAAAGCATGCAATCTAAAATGAAAAATAAATAAAAAAAATTGGCTCTGTAAAATTAAGAGAAAAAGAGAGAAAGAGAGAAGTAAGAGGGAGTGAGTGAATATAAAAGGAGAAAAAAGAAAACAAAACAACCGAGAACAGGAGGAAAATATTGTAATTCGGAAATTATACGAAAAAAAAAGGAGAGAGAGAGAAAGAGGGTGAGGGAAAACAGAAATATACAATAGGATGAAGAGAAAAGTGAATGAAGCAGAGAAAGATAGAAAAATTTATATCGAAATAACATATCTGCATAAGAAAGTTAAAAACAATTGTTTTGTCATTATATATATGCAAACAGGTATTTCAAATCAATTTTCAAGAAAAAAAATGGTCACTTCAACGACGTATGTACAGCATGACTTAACAGGAAAGGTGATGAAAGAGGAAAAGGTGGGGAGGAGAGTAATAGAAAGAGAGAGAAGAAGAGAGACATACACAGAGAGAGAGAAAGAGACAGAAAATGAATGTATAGAAAACAGAATTGTTGCGATTTAAACAGAGCAACGTGATAAGAATTGATTGATAAGTTAGCATCTTCAGCTAGTGTTAGTTATCAGAGTGAGTTGTTTTATCATCAGCATGTGTTGGATTTTGAAAGAGTTAAAAGTGAAAAAGAGATGCAAGCAAGCAAGCAAGCAAGCATGCCAGCAACCTCAATTTATCGGTCCTCATGTGAAAAATAATGAGAGAAGTTGCAGATGAAAAATACAGGAAAAGCTACAATGAATGAAAGAGGATGTACGAGAAGCAGAGAGAATGAGAGGATAGAAATGAAAAGAAAAATGAATGAATGAAGTTTTGTGTTGCGAAAGAAGATGAACAAGAAGTAGATGAAGAAGAAGAAGAAGAAGAAGAAGCAAAAAATGAAAATGTTTGTTGTTCTTCATAATATATAATGAATGAATGATCAGACAAGCATTAAGGTATTCAATCAGATGGCTTATAACTTGATCAAAACATTGCTTCTTCTTCATCATCATCATCTTCTTCTTCTTCTTTACATTCACATCAATATCTTATCTATCTCATCCATCTCCTCACAAATAAATACAAAAGAAACAAATAAAATGAAAAGTCTAAAAGACTGGAACTACTAATAGATTGCTTTAATGTGGATGTATATTAGTTGGTTGAAGAAAAGAAAGAAAATGGGCACACACACATACAAGGAATGAATGAAAGAGAGAGAGAGAGAGAGAGAAAGAAATCAAGAGAGTTGAATCATGTTATAACTGGAGAAATAAAATAAAAACGAATTTTCCTTTCATTTTCTCCAAAAAAAGGATTACAAAAACGTTATTTTTTATTTGTGTCTTTCTCTCTCTCTCTCTCTCTCTCTTCCGCTCTCTCCCTCTCTCTGTACGTAATGAACGCAAAATATGACTGAATCATTACAATTTGGTAACAAAAATCATATTTCAAATGGGTATATCTTCAAAAATATTTTCTTTTTTTTTCTTTTGTTCATTCCAAACATCAATGTTGTTGTATTTATGACACAGGAAGACATACACACATACACACGTTCATATACACATACACACACACACACATACATACATACACACCCAACATGATCTATCTGTATTGATAAACGGAAAAGAATAAAGAAAATAGAAATCAAATGATGATTCAATCACATCTATATATATATATATATATGGAATTATATAAAAAATCAATAATTGGTAGCAATCAACTGAAGATCATTTAGGGTATAGAAGAGTAGAGGGTATGAGATAGTAGTGTACAGGGAGGAGAGGGTGGAGGGGGTTGGTGGTATAGAGAGAGAGGATGTATAAGATGGTTGAAAATAGAACTAATCACTTAATTGCGTATAAGTAGTGACTATTACAGAATAACGTAAAGAACGTCTGAATAGTCTCATTGTCAGACAAAACCATAAGAGGCTTTTACTTTTTCGTTTTTTATTGTCCGATGAGGCCTATAGCTGAAGCGACTGTTCATGCATAAGATATTAATATTGCAAAATATGTAACATATAGAATGAGTGGATAAGAGAGAAGCAAAATTACTTAGGTAAGAATGAAGATGAGCAACAGAATATATATAAAAGTACATGTTAAATCAAATATGGTAGTAGAAGGAGAGGAGGAAAAGGAATTTGAATAGAAAGAATATTGAGGGACTAAAAAGGATATAATAAGAAAGGGGGAAGAAGAATGAATGAATGAAAGAAGAATGATAATGATAGATGGCTTGGGGGGTAATCAACAGTAATCATATTAACCGAAAAACATATCGTTTGATTAAAAATATTAAAATTTTAATTATTCAATATATAAATATGGCAACATGGGCAGGTAGGATATGCATATATCTATATATATATACGTGTGTATACGGTAGGAGTGTATGCCTCATTAGATATTTTGAGATAATTTTATTAATGAGCTTATAATTAAATATTCAACTAATCTCTTCATTATTGAAAAGGGGGAGGGAAGACAGAGGAGGGATTTCATTTAATAGACTTATTTGGTGCTATTAGTCAAATTACGAAGCCTCTCCGAATGAGGGAAATCTCTGATGATGAAATATATCCTCCAGCAGCTTATGTAGAGAAGCGAGATGATTGAAGAAAGACATTTAGGATGTGGATGGTGGACTTGCGCGCTACCGCATCGCGAATACTAAGCGACGCGTCTTTGTCTCTCCACTAGATGTATGCACATATGCCTTTGTGTATGTCTGCGTGTATAGTCGCCTAACACATAGACTAGCGCATTTCATGGAATATTAGAGAAAAAAGTACACGAAATAGTATATAATAGTGAGAGAGTGTTTGTCCATATCTCATCATCTCTACGCACACTCCACTAATGCAATGCTATTTCATATATGTGCGCCCTAAGAAGGAAAAATTTTTAGTCAATACAAACGCCGATTTGTCAATATGGCTATACACTCTCTTCTTCTTCGCAATTTTGTCTTTTAGCTTTTCGTTTTAAAAAAGATGTGTGTGTGTGTGTGTGTGTTCTTGTTTATTTTTGTGAGTATAGAGAGAGAGAGAGAGATGGAAAAAAGAAAAAAAAGGAAAATTAAAAAAGAAAAAATGTTTTTCGTTGTTTTCTATTTACATAATTAATTATGTTAAGTTGTATTCAGAAGGTGGGTTGCATAAGCCATGATTGGAGGTATATTCATATACAATCATAAAGGAGAAGTTCTCATTTCAAGAATCTATCGTGATGATATAACGTAAGTAAAATATATTCAATCTATCTATCTATAGTTAGTATAGTTAGAGATTGATTTAATAGTTATAATATATATATATAATATTATAGACGTAACTACATTGATGCTTTTCGTGTTAATGTTATTCATGCTCGTCAACAGGTATTCTTTGTTTCTTTCATTTTATATAATATTGTTGTTTACATCAATAACTATATAGATAGATATATATATATATAGTTAATGATATATATTGTTTATGTAAATAGCATAATATAGATTATATTATATAGTTATGCATCATTTACAGGTTCGATCACCGATTGCAATTATTGCAAGAGCAACATTCTTTCACATAAAACGAGGAAATATATGGATATGTGCTGCATCAAAGCAAAACATCAGTGCTGGTCTTGTTTTTGAGGTAAATATAGTTAAAGCTTTAACTGCATATTCATATATATATATATATATATATATATTCAATATGGTTACTTCAATTTTGAAGGACATAACCCTTTAGTCTCAATGGCCATCTTATTGATTTTTCGAAAGTTCTGTGAGAATACGAGTCATACACACTCAAATATCCTTTATCTTTTCTATATCGAAGATATAGATGCCAAAGTAGAAGCATTATCTTAATATTTCTCGAAAATATAAAAATCTTCTTGAAAGGTTTCGAAAAGCTTCAATGCAATGGCCACAATTAGAGAAATAGAGTTCCTCGTCTCTCTATCATCATCGTTTCTTTCTTCTCATTTCCATCTTTTTTCTCTCAGCGCAATTCTTTTCTCTAATTGTTTTCCCAATCTGCTCTAATCTTTAGCTATGCTCTCTGCATGGCGGTCTTCTCAAAAACTAATTATATTTCCTTATACTCTTTTTCTCTTTAACGCACCTGCCTGACTTTTTCATCATCTGTCCAGACTCGACTCATCACCCATATATAGCCTTGATCGGCGACCCACACCACTCTACCAAACAGGTGTTTCTCGTTTTTGCTGTACGCAAACAGAACATAATGTGATCTCCCAAGTGACAATCTGTAGTAACGGTTGCTGATGGAGATAAAAAAAAATTGAAAAGAAGAGAGGGTGGTAAGGGGGTTGTGGTCATGGTGTGGTGACGGGGGGGGGGGAAGAAGAAATGAAAAATGACGAATAAAAAAAAGAAGTTCAATAGTGTATACATCATTTCAGTTTCTTCAACGCTTCTCAGACACAATGCATTCGTACTTTGGAAAGTTGAATGAAGAGAATGTACGAAATAACTTTGTATTGATCTATGAACTGTTGGACGGTATAGAAGTTTAGAGAGAAAACTAAAAAACTGAAATATGATATGTTTAAGAAATAATTGATTTTGGATATCCACAGAATACGGATCCAGGAGTACTCAAAGCATTCATTACTCAACAAGGAGTACGAACTTCGGTTAGTCAATTTAACTTATTAACTATTTATAACAAAATCTGAAAGTCAAAGGGGGAAGTCAAGTCAAACGACCAACCTAATCAAATACTCTATTCATAAGAGATTAGACAGATGATTGAATTGATATAGAATATTGTCAATATTCTATTTAAATAATAAATATCTTTTAAAGAATAATTGATTAATTTAGGAAAGTGTCGTCATTGGGGTAGGTTTCATGTGTTGTTTGCTTAATATCGTGAGAAAACAAGAGTAAAGATGTGTGCGTGTGTGTGTGTGTTGTGAAGCATGCCTGTTTCCATATCAACTTTCCGTATAAAATGAAAAATAATATTTATACGATGGACTATCAGACATAGATGTTTCATTCACATGATCATCATCATCATCATCATGATGCTTTTCTATTATAGACGAAAGAAGAGCAATCTCAAATAACTTCTCAAGTTACGGGACAGATAGGCTGGCGACGTGAAGGAATTAAATATCGTCGTAATGAGTTATTCCTTGACGTTATTGAATACGTCAATTTGTTAATGAATCAGCAAGGTTTGTTTGCTCAATTGCTTTACTTCATTGACGTCATTCTCATTTTCTTTTAATTCTTATTTTACAGGACAAGTTCTATCTGCTCATGTAGCTGGTAAAGTTGCTATGAAATCATATTTGAGCGGTATGCCAGAATGCAAATTTGGTATAAACGATAAAATAACAATTGATGGAAAAGGCAAATCATCACATGATGATTCTAATAAATCACAAGTGTAAGAACAATAGAAGCTAACTTACAATGATGATTGATGCGAAACAATTTTCAGTGTCAGATCTTCAGTTGCTATTGATGATTGTCAATTTCATCAATGTGTTAAATTAACTAAATTTGACACGGAACATGCCATTTCCTTCATTCCACCGGATGGAGAATATGAACTGATGAGGTTAATCATGCATTCTTTCACTCAACTATATTCACATAATTAACATTTAGATATCGAACCACAAAAGACATTCAACTGCCATTCCGAGTCATTCCACTCGTACGCGAAGTTTCTCGTAACAAAATTGAAGTGAAAGTTGTGGTTAAATCTAATTTCAAGCCATCACTTCTGGCTCAAAAAATAGAAGTGAGAATTCCAACACCCCCCAACACTTCGGGAGTTCAGCTTATTTGCTTGAAAGGAAAAGCTAAGTATAAGGCTGGAGAAAATGCAATCGTATGGAAGTACGTTAAATGAGAACAACTACTGTCTACTGGAAATTACTTTTTTTTCCAGAATCAAACGAATGGGAGGAATGAAGGAAAGTCAAATATCCGCTGAAATTGACCTTTTGGCAACAGGAGCAGAACGGAAGAAATGGAATCGCCCTCCTGTCAGCATGAACTTCGAGGTTTGCACTTGCACTTTGTCAATGGCACTCAATTAACTATTCCAGGTGCCATTTGCTCCATCTGGACTTAAAGTACGTTACTTGAAAGTGTTTGAACCAAAGCTGAACTATTCTGATCATGACGTGATCAAGTGGGTTCGCTACATTGGTCGTAGTGGACTATATGAGACTCGTTGTTGAACAAGTCTACATATGCATCGTTTAACTATTTGAAACTCGTCAACATGAAATACGCATAAGAAGCTTGTCGGTGATGTATGCCAGCATTTCCGTCTTAATTTATTAAACAAACATAAATAAGACTTAATATAATATATAATTAACTATGCTTAAAGAGACATTCCATTCTAATTTATTATATAGTTAAGCGCTTTTAATAGAATATAGTTAAGTTCATAATATATCTTTAACTTCGGTTCAAAGATGGATATTTATTTATTTATCTCTTTCTATCTGCAAGCTTCCCCCTTCACAACACACACCTTCACCTCCCCTCTCTCTCTCTCTCTCTCTATTCATTTGCATGTAAGTATAGTTGCTTAGCTACCATTTTTCTCTTTTTTTTTTGTTTTTTTGGGGGAACTAACACGCAGCACATGTGGAAATATTGTAATGGAAATGCAGTGTGAAAATGTGAAATGTTGTTGTATCAATAAGCACATTGTTCTCTATCTCATATATTCTTCCACCCATAATATTTTATAGCTCAGATGTTAAATTTGATTTTGTAGTAATAAAGGTTTTTGTAGCGAATACATAACTGTTGTTTTTCAATATCTATATATGATGAAGTGAGAAAGAGGTAGAGAGAGAGATATAGAGAGATAGAGAGAGATGATGAGAGAGGGAGAAGTGGAAACCGAGGGAACGATGTCTGATTGGTTGAACACAATTAATTGTGTGCGTGTATGGTGTATGTATCCTATCCATCTATCCAATGTGTGGTGGATGATAACAAGTTATCATAATAATCAGCTATAACCCATAGAGAATACTTTTCCCCTGTTTTTACCTCTTTCTTTCTCATGCTGCACCTTTCTCTGCTAAACCATTTCCTCCAGCTGAAGGATGAAGCTTGTGTACAACACGAAACATTCTCATTTGTGCAGCTCTTTCATTTTTCTAATTTAGCAGAATGAAGGAAGAAGAAACAAAAAAAATTGTGAAAAGAAAAGGAAATTTGTTTCTTTTCTCTCCATCTTATTCTACCTCTTGCTTTTGCTCATTCTCTTTCAGGCTCAACTTATTATTTACAACAATAACATCTTTACGATTGTTGTGTCATCTGTCACTTAGGATTATTAGAATTCACAAGTTCCATGTTGCTTCTTCATATGCTCGTACCAAACCTTGTTGTGTTTGTGTTTGTGTGTTTTGGAATTTGAATAACATCTTCATTTGATAGCATCGTACCAGATGCATCTGTGATTTGGGAGGATAAAGCTGGAAGACATTAATTGAATAAAAACAACAAACAAACCTATAATGATGTATTAGCATTCAGTCATAACGACTATATATATCGATGTATAGTAATCGGATGAGCTTTCTTCAGCTTCTGTTCTCTCCTCCACCCCTCCTTTTTTGCTTTCACATTTGCTTCATGTCCAGCAAATCGACCCGTTGTCACACAAACGATTGGATTAAACATCTTGCAAAATGAATTAGTTCATCGAATCATCCTTTCCAGACATCTATTTTGAGACACACAGATAGAAGTAAAGGAAGTCCATGAGACAAGTTATGTTATAGCAGATCGGCCTAATAACAAAGCAATGTTCAGATGGTCTTTCGTTGTCGTCGTCGTTCGTTTCAGATGGCATTTTCTTGTTATTCTCAATTTCATTTGCTGGAAATTAACAAATTTCATATCTGTCTGTAAGCGACCAACAATTCATAAACTCAGAAATCTCATCTAATATGATGTGAAAAATAAAATTTATCAGCTTGGCTAAGCAGAAGCGTTTACCACTTCTATCCGTTCCTTTCTCTCATTCTCTCTGAGCTTTCTTCATTTTTCCTTTTCATGCCTTTCCCTCTTTTTAATTCAAAAGAATTTTAAAACAAAAAAAAATTGCTGAATGAGATAGTCATTAAACCAATAGAGAACGTGGTGAATGTGTGTATGCGGGAGTGTGTGATGCTCTCGCATGATTTACACTTTCAGAACGTTAACACACACACATGTCCATATACGTACCACTATATGTGTAAGTTGCATTTGTTTGCTAAATTTACAATATAAATGAGATTTATATTGTTTCTTGTCTATAAACAACATATCGTGTTGACAACAACTAACTTGCATCTTATCTTTCCATCATTTTCGTATTTCATATCCGAATATGCATATATGGTAATATATATATCTAAGTTATCAAAGCTTCATTTGTCCACCAAAATTTTCAATTGTTGCACGTACGCATATACAATTGTATGTTCGAGTTTGTATTTGAATTCATGTCCATCTTATGAGTTAGCATCTGATGTTTCGTCTTTGTCAATCCTCTAAGATTCACAGGCGAATGATGTCGCTTTGCGTTCGCATCTACTCAACTGCTAGGAGAGAAGAAGAGAAAAAAAAATGAAATTATATGCAAATAAACTTCTAATCTATATATATGCGTTCATCTGTTAGTCTTGAAGAAACTGGAGAAGTATGTGAAGGACAAAACTTTTCCATTTTTTACTTCTTCATCTTACTCTCTCTCTATCTTTCTCTTCTCTTCTATTGTTTGATTGTAAAGAGACATACTTATTGTCAATGAATGATTTCATCGAACAAGGTGCTCCTGCTCTCAGCTGCCATAACAGCCGTCTTGTCTGATTATTTTTCAGCTACTTTCTCTCTCTCCCTCCTTAGCTCCCTCCTTCCCTCTCTCCCTCCATTTTTTTTGACCAAAAACATATTTGTTATGAATGAAGCTCATAAATATAGTAAAAACAGAAGAAAAATATATAATAAAATATATAATTTTATTATATCAAATTGTCATTGAAGACCATGTATGGATATCTATCCTTCTATCTCTCTCTCTCTCTATCACTCTCTCTCTATCTCTAATGGACAATTAGATCATTAAGCTCTATTAACTAGCCATGAATAACAAATAACTGTTCCTTATTTCAAAATGTACTCTTTAGGTTTTTATCTTTTTCTCCTCAGAAATATTCTTTGAAGCTTCTCTCCCCCCCCCCTTCTCTCCTCATGAAAATTTCTATTTGAATGTAAATTACGTTCCGCTATAAAGCAACTTCATTTTTCCTCAGACATAACTCAAATATGTTTCGTTTGCTCATCCGTTTCTTTTCACATAGATGGTCACATCATTATAATTCCTTTTTTCCTACGTCTCTCGTCTTACCAACTAAACGTCTTTGAGTATGCAATGAAAAAGGAAGCTTCTAAAACTATATTTCATATATGATCACTGTTGGATTGAAGCAAAGAGGTTTAGAAGCTAGTTATATGTCTGTGTGACAAATGATGATATAAGCTTAGCTATTCTTCATTTAGACTATACTAAGTACAAATGAGTACCAGATTGATGAACAATTGCTTTCTCATATCATATGATAACGTTTTTATGGTTTTCTCATCGTCATTACATACCAGAAGAAAAGGTTCATCTGAGTTAATCTTCTAAGCTCTCTCTCTCTTCCTCACACCACTCTCACACATGAAAAGCTTTAAACTTGTGTTAATAGACAAGTTTATACATTTTTTCAGATACATAAAATTAACTTTACACATAATCATTTCTCATTTTCACACTCTACCCACACTCAACCACATTGCATACAGATCGAACACAGAGAGAGAGAGAGAGAGAGAGAGAGAGGGAAGGAATGAGAAGCACACACACTCATACATCCAACTCTCTATATATACTTTCTCTCTCTTTCTCTCTCTTCATGTAACTTTTTTTATTTTGTTAATCTTATTGGCAGTTTTTAGTCCAGCTCATCTTTTTCGTACTTCATATTTTCGCATCAACTTGCCTCTAGCCATAGTCATTATAAAAAGCATTTAAGCATGTTCTCACACATTAAGACTGATTCATTTGACTATTACTCTGCACTACTTCAATTAACTTCAACCATTTAAGCAAATGAAAATGTTTCTCTCTCTCTCTCTCTTCCTCTTCTCTCTTTAACAATATGGTAACTTACTCTTCAAGCAACACTTTTGAACCACTAATTTAGAGTTCTCAAACATTCCTATGTATCTTCTCTTGAATTGAAATCGATTGTTATGTTTAAAGCCACTCCTACAATATCATATGCGAGCACTCTCGTTTTTTCTGGGGCATAATTGACGAAAATTCTGTCATTCATGCTCATTATGCTTTTAACTTTTTTGTTTCTCTTCTCCCATTTCTCTCTCTCTCTCTCTCTATCTACACTTCTCTCTCTCTCTCTTACTTATTCTCTTCTTTGTCCATTTGACAATAATGAAAACCAAAAAAGGCTTTTGTTCTTGGTCGTTATGTGTTTCTTTTCAAAGAATTGATTATGTCTCATAATTCCAGCTGTTTTCATATATATATATATGGCCTCTTGAAATCTTTTTTAATCTATTCAAAGAGACATCTCACATGCTTCAGGCTTTTCGTATATTGCGATGCATCTTTAGAGGTTTCATTGTTTACTTATAAACATTGAATGAAACTATCTCAAATTATTTAAATGAAGCAGTTTGCAAGATCGATAGTGAGATGAAGAAAGTAGAGATGAATGTGTGAAGAAACAAACATTTTGTTTGTTTAATGATGATGTTGATGTTGATGTTGATGATGATGTTGATGATGATGAAAAGAAAATAAAACAATGCCATAGTTGATGAAATGACGTAATCGACAGCTATTTTGGAAACGATTTGTTTCAAATAATACCCTTAAAACATCTTTCCTATTGATGCGATTATTCTGTTTTCTACTTGAGAAGAAAGAACAAAAAGATTTTACTTTTGCCCCAAATCCCGCAATGAAGGGATACTGGTAAGAGTTCTAGAATGTCCAGCTCTTTCTCTTTCTCTCCACCTCTCTCTCTCTCTCTCTCTCTCTCTTTCACCAACCTTTGTCAATTGAACAACTTTTTCCTTCCTTTTTTTTTATATATAAAGATGGAAGAGAAATCTTTTTGTGGAGACAGCAAATTGAAGCACTCAAAATAAACCACGTGAACTCCTCTGGTCATGACGACCTCGAGGAATCGCCCAAGCTTTCTATTAAGCCATTCACTCTGCTATCTCACTTGAGATCGTTTGAACTCAAATTCTTTAAACTGCTTTTTCATTGAATTATTCCAATCTATAGAGAATAGCACGTATGAAAACTCCAACGTTTCCAATTTTTTTCATCGTTATTTCGAAACAAACTTCCGTTTCTTTCTCTCTCTCTTTGCCTTTCAAAAAGCATTAAGGACAGTTTTTTCTGACTAATTCTTTCGACAGAAAAGCGCAAGCTAGAAAGAGGACTTTGCTAAGAAGGTTCTCAATCAGTTGTCAACATTGGTGAAGGATAAAACTATTCAACTAAAACTGAAGCTCTAACTTATAGATTAAATCTTACCAATGAACAAACTAATCTCTCTCATCCGTCAGAAAAACTCCTCTCATATATGAAGTAGAAGAAGGCACAAAAGACAAGAAAATAAGAACTTTTGTTCTTCAACTTTTTTGCTGTTCAAAGCTGAAATGTCAAACTGTCTCGTATGTCGAGAAATCCGACGACTTTTAGAGTTATTTCATGTTTGTGTGTGTTTCATTGCAACCTTTCATTTCGTCTGCAACGTATATGAAGAGAAACATTCTTCAAAGTTGAAAAAAACATTTTGAATGGCATCTCCGTTATCATATTACAGACGGAAACAAGCCAATATGAGTATCAAAGAATGATTTTCATTTCCAAAATATTTTATGAGATTGTTATTGTTATATATTATTCTCATTTAAAGATACTTCCTACTCTCTTTATTAGCCTTATTTAGCTTTTAACTTTGCATCCCTTCAACTCACTTTTTCAAATTTTCTTTTTTCTCTCAGATCTCTTGGAATAATCAGAATAAAGTCGGTTATTGAAAAATGGATGCTCTCATCGACAATTCAACTACACTCAGCGTATCTGCAGAAGCTGTTTTGTGCGATCAAGAGCCGCATCCACTTATACGCTCAATATTCATAAGGTTTTCAATGAAAATCCATGGCCTTTAATTATATTTTCTTATTTTCTTCTTAAAGTTGTGGAACTGTTGTTGCGATTGTTGGTTGCTTCGCCAATCTGCTACTCGTCTATGTTTTTAGCAGCTCCACACGACGTGTCAGTCCGTTTCAGGTAATCTTTCCAATCTAAGGTTTCACGAGCAATGATCATCCTCTAGATATACCTATCAACATTGGATTTTTTGTTTTGTCTTCTCTTCATCATATGCTTTGCAGCATTGAGATTTTCACAAATGTTTCATATAGGTATAAGGGATTTCCATGTTTGATGCTTACAAAGCCTTGTTGTTAACAGAATGGTTATACATATTTCTCAAAAATAACAGCGTTTCGTTATATATTCTGAGTAGAATAGTGCAATTAGAAATACCCTATGTTCTAATAGCTAATACTGCTGATCGTTTGAAATTCTTCGATTTTGCTCGCAATCGGTTAGTTTACCATCCATACATGCTAACTGCTGATCATATTTTGCAGAAGGATGTTTCAAATTGGAGTAATAATAGCCACACAGCTTGTTGCAACATTCGTTCGAGTACCTGGCTACTTTGCCATGGAAGTAACTGATATTCCCGGGTGTGAACTGTTTACGAGTAAAATTCTGACAGCTGTCGAATTGTCTGAAGAACTCATTGATGTATACGTCTGTTTTGATTTAGTTGTACAGGTATATCATCCATCCATCATTCCTTCACTCACTGTTCATTCATACATCCTTATAGTTTTTCCATTTGTTCGTCTCGTTCATCATTCTATGCGTACTGAATGTGATTGTTGTCATGAAGTTACATTCATCACATAAGAGAGCTGCCAAAGGAAATACTCATATGAACATCATATACTCTGTAATTTAAAATCACAATCTTCTTCCTAGTATTCATCTTAATCTCTTTTCAGAAACAGGAAGATAGAGATGAAGAGCAGAAGAAAGAGCAGAAGCGCTATAGATTTGCAGTTCACGCCACCATTTGGATAATCTCATCTTATCTGGCTTGCAACAGTGTGAACTTTATTCTTTATCTCATCGAAATGTTCGACAAATCCTCAATTCAGGTCAGCTTTTCATATGTTATTAGTTCGAAAAGGCAAAATACACCCTTTGTAATTCCTTGTTGATTTTCTGTTGAGCTAATCCTTCCACTTTTCTGAGTGCAACAGCTTATGTGCTCAAAAACAGAAAAAAAATGAATAATGATATGGACTTGAGAGTTCTCAAGTTTCCTTAAATAACTCCAGAAATCTTTTGACAAGTCTTTCATCTTCATAGATTAAAGTATGTTTCAGGACAACGTTGGAAACTTCAACGTTTGGTATGTACTCTTCAGTGATATTGGTTCAATACTATTCATACTTTCTTCAACTATTCGACTATTCATTTTGTATCGTTATAACCTAGATGTCAGAGAAGAGATACGCGCTGTAGTTGGATTAGGCTCACAAAAGTTTTGGTGATTAGCTATTGAGTGATGATTCGATAAATGATTATGTATTATATTAAATGAATATATGATTCTGTGAGAAAGTCCAATACCTTTCACCACCCACCCTCAACCCTTTAAGATTCAAAAAGTTTCAATCACATATGATTGATTTGGATGACTGTAACACATTTTTTGTAAGTCAATGACATCCTCTCACACTTTGTTGTATTTATATAATATTTGAATAAAAAATGTCTCTCACTTTTTTGTACTTATGACCTCCATGCAGGTATTACGTTAGCATCATTACGACATCGGATTAATTCCCTGATGAGCCATGTCATTATTTCTTTCTTCCGATTATAATCCCTCATCCATCTGCCGACCACTAAACCTGACAAATAAGCCGTTAATGATGTGTAAGATGTCTCACAGGTAACCGATTGCAGATGTTGCAGATAGGATTAATAACCTCTCACCAATGACCCAATTAATTCAAAATGACGCATTTATTGTTGTACAAGAAAATACATCTGTTATAACATGAAAACTACAATAACAACATGTATGCACCAGGCAGATTGTACTCGTAATGACTGACCCTTTTAATAAGAAAATAATTGAGATTTCAGATAAAAACATATCACATAGTTAAAATAATAACCTTTTGTACAATGACTAGCACGCAAAAGTGTAGGGTCAGTTAAAATATAAGTTAAAATAGGTTAAAACTGTACCCTCTCTGATTTCATGACATAAGATACCCGTTTTGTCTAGAATCACTGGTAACCAAACTGCCGAACCCTTCAAATGATTTTATAAGATTGTTTTGGATATGTTTGCTACTTACTTCATGCCTGGTTGAGAACCCATTCCCATACCGTTGTTTGGTGGCATGGATCCTGGAGGAATCTTGCCGTTTGGAGGCATGCCGTACATTGGTGGGTGTGGTGGCATTCCTCCACTAGGCATAGGCGGTCGTTGATTACCATAAACATCGTGGAAGCCGCCACTCGTAGGTGGCTGCATTCCCTGTTGTTGAGAGGGATGCACATAACCTAGGAAAAGAAAAGAGTATTCAGTTATCAATTTTTTAAAGTACCTGGCTGGTGCATTGCATTCATATTACTATGTTGAGATGTAGGAGCTTGGTGGGGCATACCCATTTTGCCGTTTGGAATCCCATACATTTGAGGTTGTTGCGATGGATGGGGTGGGAGCATTCCATTTGGCATTGATCTTTGAGAATACTGCTCATTATATTGAACAGAACTGGGATGGTGAGGAGCTTGCTGTTGTGGAGCATTCACAGCTTGCGAAGGGTTTGGATGTTGCGTTTGCTGGGGCTGATGCATATGACTCATCTGCGGGTGTTGAGCTTGTTGGTGAACAGGATGTTGAGCGTTCGGATTAGCCCCTGGCTTATACATACCGGGTTGTTGCATTTGATTATCTACCTGAAACATGTTAAATCAATGCTTTTGAATGGTTTTTATGAACTTACGTTAGATCTATTCAGAGATTGAGGGGGTTGACTAGGTTGATTGGACTGAGAATGAGGGTGAGTAAGCCCTGGATGTTGTGAAGACATATGAGATTGTAGATTAGGATGATTCACATGACCAGCATGAGGAGGATTATTAGTAGGATTGTTAGAATATGAAGACTGCATTTGTGATGGATGGCTTGGATGAGATGGTCCTGGCTGCATTTGGGAAGCATGAGAACCTTGTTGCCCTTGTGGCATCGATTGCATATGAGGCATATGTTGCCCAGGTTGAGATCCATGTTGCATTTGCTGTGCATGGCTGCCATGAGATGCTCCAGGAGGCATATGAGATCCTTGTTGTTGATGCACTTGAGGTTGAGATCCTGTATGTCCCATTTGTGGATGTTGCCCATGAGACTGCATACCGGGAGCCTGTCCGCTAGGTTGAGATCGATTATGATTATTATGACTTTGCATCGATTGCATTTGCTGGTGTTGAGAGCTCTGTTGGTTTTGAGCGTTTGCCTGAGGTCCTGGTTGCTGTTGCAGGTGGGGATTATGCTGCATATGTTGATTATGAGGCATATGCTGAGCATGTTGAGGTAGTTGACCATGTGACGTCTGCTGCCCATGAGATTGTTGAGCACCAGTTTGATTTGGTTGTCCATGAGGTAGAGTTTGAGCATGTTGAGCATGAGGCACTTGGGAGGGTAAATGTTGAGGGTGAGGAACCTGCTGAGCATGAGGATTGTGGGAGGCATGTTGACTGGATTGTCCTTGCTGTGGATGCTGTGGCTGGCCATGTTGAGAAGATTGCAAATGCTGAGGATGTTGAGCATGAGGTTGTTGGCCATGTTGGAGAGGAGGTTGCATATGTTGTGCGGATTGCATGATTGGTTGTTGCATATGTCCTTGTTGCTGCTGCTGTTGCTGTTGCGCTTGCTGTTGAGCTTGCTGTTGAGCTTGCTGTTGCGCTTGCTGCTGAGCTTGCTGCTGAGCTTGTTGTTGCGCTTGCTGTTGCTGTTGCTGTTGCTGTTGCAAAAGCGATGCCTTGGACATCTGTGGCTGCGAACCATGAGGGTGATGCGAACTTGGATGTTGATTTTGAGCATGCTGCTGCACATGTGATGCTTGAGAACTTTGTTGCATATTCTGGGAACCCTGTTGTTGTAAATGTGGTGGCTGCTGATGGATTTGAGGCTGTGGTTGGCCAGTATGCATTTGAGCCTGTGGACCTCCTGCCTTTTGAGCACCATACATAGGATGTTGTGCTGGAGCCCTTCCTGGTGGTCCACCTTGAGGGAGAGACATTCCGGGGTTAGGTCCAGCTTGAGATGGATGATTGGGGTGCTGCATCGGATGTTGATTGTGTTGAGCTGGATTTCCTCCTGGTGGTCCATTCATCATACGCGGTGGTGGTTGCTGAGGCATTTGAGCATGAGCAGGATGACCAAATGGACCAGCTTTAGATGTATTCGGCTGATTTGGATTGAAACCATGAGGTTGAGCACCTCCTTCAGGACCGATGTTGCTGCCAGAAAGGGTATTTTTCTGAGGTGTCACACGGCGCATGTGCTCTTCTTCAGGATTAGGGTACTTAGGAGGAGTATTCATCCGTCCAACTGCGGTTTCTAAGCCAGAGCTCGGTCTTGATTGCGGTCTTTGATGAAGTGGATTATCCGAAGGAACATTTTGTCCTACTTCCATTGATTGAAAACCGGGGGGTATGGAACTTGCTACACCTAAAATGTGATTTTTCATGTTTCGAAATGATATGAAAAAATTACCTGATGTTGAAGGGTCGTTCATTTCAGAGCTCTTGTCAGAGAATGGCTTTTTAGCTACTGGAGGTGTGTGACAGGCAGATGAAGGCCGAGATGTAGATTCGGCTTGTTCTGAAATACCAGTTGCATTTGTGACTTAAGCAGATTCTTACCTAGTTGCTCACGGGTTTCCAGTCGCTTCGTGATGAAGTTATGAAAGACGTCTTTTGATGAAGCAACCTTCTTTGACACGAGATGAGCATCTCGTTCTCCCTTCTTTGTCAACTGCTGAGTGGGTAATGGAACAGTTTCTTGGTTGATAAGATGTTGTTGTACGTTAATTCTTTCGTTGGATAAACGCGGATGGGAAGATGTGGCATCGGGCATGATGGTTGGAGCGGCCTCTATCGGTTTCTCATCAGGCGTTCCTGTTCTTGCTTTTTCATGTTTCAAGACGCTGCTTTTATCTTTCATAGAAATTGATGCTGAATCATTCGTAACCCCAATCTTCGCTCCATCTATACCAGAAGCTGTTGGTTGATCATCCGAGAAAAGAATATTTTCGAATAAAGGACTTTCCGAAGGCTTGCACTGAAAAGGACAATATTAAAACGGGATAATGCTGATTACATACTCTTCTTTTCATTTTCGGCCCTACTCCACCTGCACCAGCACCAACAAGTCTTTTTCTGCCACGAGCAGCACCTCCTTTACCCTTTCCTACACTAGTTTCTAGGGAGTCAGGTGTGTTACATGATGAGTCAGGATTACTGGTATCCATATCGTCACTCTCTTCAGCGGACTGCAAAGGATCCTGGAAAATGTAAAGTCAAAAGTCGAAACATCATATCAAATCTCACGTCGTCACTTTCTTCAGTTTTTCCACGTGGCGAACTTTTAACTGGGGTTGATGTGTTTGAGGGTTTCAAATCTTCTGGCATTTTTGGTGATTTCATGCCACCGGATGTTTTTTCTTCACCTGGTAGTTTCGTTTTTGGTGATGAAGCTTGAGCCTCAGGTTGTTTCGATTTGGGACTGTTAACGTGAGGAGCAAATGCTTCGCTCGGCTTGATGTGAGCTTGAGGAGATGGAGGTGGTGAAACTTTAGCAACAACTTTTTCCATTCGTACAGGAAGTTCTGGAACTTTCTCATCGACTTCCATCTTATCATCAAGATCATCATCACTCTTTTCAGAGCTATAACTTCCACGAGAATCTTTCAAGAAATCAGGAGATTTGATGTATAAATCGAGTACTTCATCACTCACGTACTGAAAACATTTAGGAATTTATCTAAATGGATCACATGATACTTACCACTGGTGGTTTCAGCTTAGCATGAGGATGACTATGAGTTGTTTTCTTCCAAACTCTTTTTGGAATGATAGTAGGAACTTCATCAAATTTATGAGGCTGGAACATTTGCCAACGCCAGTTCCCTGGCTTGGCTCCTGGATCCGGCATATACCCTGGTACCATATCATAGGCAGATATACGAATGTTCTCGGATAGTTGCAAAACTGGTTCACCGCTACTGATAACAGTTGGAACAGCTTGATTAGCATTTTGCACAGTCTGAAAAGTTTTCGTAAGAACACCGATTTATAACGATATCGTACTCTTGATCCATGGGGTTCGGTGGTAATCGTTCTGACTCCAGCTTTTGGAATAGGAAGAAGAGCTTGCAAATCAGCATTCTGTCCTGGCTCCATTTTATCAGCAATTTCTTTCTGTAGATAGGCTGAACTGTGAGAAAAAACGAAATGATTGCACATACCTTTATACGTTTGATAATTGAAGCATAGAACATGTAGCGTATTCTAGTAGCATCTGTATCTATGTGGTTAACCGTTTTTGCTGAATCGTCTTGAGTACACCACATGAGAATCGTAGTGAGCATATCATAGGCATAGTTGTAGATTATTCTAAAATATTATTTCTAATGAGATCCGAACAATTAGAATTCTCACTCTTCGCTTTTGATGGTAATAAATCCAGAGAGCAAAGCATGAGTCAGAAGCAGAGCCCATGGTTCAGCATGAAGTGGAGAACAAATCTGGAAAAAAAATATTTTACATAAGTTCTTTCCGTGTTAGAGTACATGTTTCATGAGCCGTCCAGCAAATAGTACACGGAGACATACTCCATCTTTGAACTGTTCAAGGGTTTCTTCAGACAATAGAGCCTATAAATCATATGATTCTGACATAATTTCTATTTCTAATTACCTCCTTCCTTCTCATCAACACATCAGTTAACTGTCTGAATAAAGATTGAAGAAGGAAGTCTTTGCTATCCCCTCCATGCGTTCCTTTATCTGATATAATGCAATACTCGATGACATTGACAAATGGTGGCTGTTGCAGATACCAGGCACTGTTGAATCCGAATGGCCTTAATTTAATGCATTTTTTTCAGACTTCTGAGATGTGACCTACTTCTTTCCATTAACATCAAACTCTAACAGTCTAGCTGCGGCCTTCAAAAATTTCCCAGAAACTTTCATGGGCTGGAATGCAGTTGGAACGTTCTTCGGTTCAGGACATAAGTTTATGAACATAGGAAGCAGCCAGAAGTTGTTAATCTGCGATAAACGGAACTTGGAGCTATCCTGTAAATATCATGATTGATCAAACGCCCACTTGATGCTTTCTTACGAAATGGCTGACAGGTGTGTTGGCCATGGATATGTTAGCTCTCATGGCAGTTGTGAATAATTCTCGAACAGCGTTAGCAAATTCGGTCATCAAAGCATCAGCTGCAATCGCATTCTGTTGTTGATGCTTCTGTGCCCCTTCAGGTGATATCTACAGTACTTGTTATGAATGAATCTTATGGTAACCAATTCTACCTCCTTAATCATCAATTTGATGTCATAGATTGTAGCTCGTACATTCCAGAAGTTCATAACGCTTAGAAGCTTGTCAATCAAGGCTCTCTTGGAATTGCTGTTGCATATGGTTAACTGATTCATAATTTCTTTTTCACTTCCTCTACGAATTCCCAAACGAAGCAATTGCTGTCCCTGGAAAGCAAAAATTATATCAAATTCTCAGTATCATTCCTAATGGGAATTTAATGTAATATACTCACGAGGCAATTTGATTTCAGTCTTTCATCGTTGAATGCAATCATATTATGAGTTTCAGCAATCTGATACATTCGATATGTAACCCATTCTTGCTCCGCAATATTGATAATCACTGTTTTCAGAATAATCATAAGGTATTCACGTCTGTACTTGGTCGATCCCGTTTCATTGGTTAGTAAGTAGCTGAAAGTAGTAATATGCACTTCTTTTGTTTCATGATTTGATATGAATCATGCTGATGAATTGAAAGAATGCAATGCTGTTAATAGATCAAAACGCTGGTGATAAAAACAATCATACACTGTACACAAGCACACACATATTCACACGCATAAACTTGCGTTCTAGAAATCACGACACTTGACACCTATTGCATGAGAACTTACTTCCTGTCATAACTATCCCAATCAGCTCTAAATTATTGTTAGAATCGAAATAATAATTGTTAGTTGAGCAGCTAATAGAAGCGTTAATCAAAACAATAAAACGTACTCAGAGTCCTTGTATCGACAACGCAACACATCTTGTAGAATAGTGATGTTACTGAGTAACGGAAAGATCACTGATCCCATTGTTGTCCAATGTTGAAGAGCAAGTACGTTTTCATCAGAAGTTTGATTCAAGGTCTTAATCTTTCTTGTTGTACCATTATAATGTGGTGACACTGTAATATAATTATTAGAATCTCTTCATTTCATATTCCTTTGTTACTTATGAAAGGCTCATCGCTTCTTCCGCATAATTTTGAGCAAATCAGCAAAGAGAGACATAGTCCTGCTTCATAATCATCATCCTGGGAATCTGAAAACCAAGCCTTTGCTATTATTATTATATAATGCTCTTACAATCTGTCCAACAGTCTTTGGTCATGATGGGTGGGAAAACAACAGCAACGATAGATTTACACAGCTTGTTTACGTTATATGCGAAACGGGCTCCCATCAACATAACAAACGTTGATATTCCATAATGAGTCTCGCAGCATTTCAACTGAAAAAATGAATAAATAAATGAGAAAATTTAGTGAAATGTTTACGTCAATGGCTGTTCGAAGCTCATAGTATGTAGAGCTCAAGCTACCCATGCAAAGAGAGATAATAGCTTGAATCCATTCATCTTTCAATTCAGGAACTTGAGCAGTAACGTTTGCACAGAAAGTTGCAAGATCACATATGCAATCATAATCACGTTGAAGTGTCTGCAAATGGAAAGATTGATGTGAGAACGTGTTTTTTGAAAAATCTCACCGATGAGAAAGTAAGAGCGTTGATTACGAATGAATAACGATTACGTTTTTCGGAAAATGAATACAAATGGCTTTTATAATCATGATATGAGATTATTCTCCTGAAAACATTCATATTTAGCATTTTCAGTTCTCTAATATGCAGCTTACAAGTTCTCGCTCTCAAAGAAGTCTTGCATGAACGACGAATTATATACAATAATATCATCCATTCCTGAATCGAAGCCATATTGGCATTTTTGATTTCGGAGTGTTGCAGGACTCTTCAATTCCATTCCCTCATCTTCGAAAGACTATAAATTATATATTTTTATAATGGTTCGATAGTGTTTTCGTCATTGTTTACCACACTAGTCTTCAGAAATCTTCTAATTGCTTTCAGAAAATGAACAACGGTCTCTGCCCATGCAGTCCATGGATATCCTTCAACGAACATCGCTTTGTAAACAACATTATACATTCTGTAAGTAAAGGACGGTAAGTCATATCACTCTAATCATGGCTTACGCATTATAAATAGGAATAGCATAACCACTATACAGAAAATATAACCAGTGCTTAGTTAAATACCCGACAAAGGAAAAGCATATTTGGCTTGATATAGCACCCGGGGCTACTTCATTACTTAATGAACGAATTGTTCTTTCTACATCAGGTAACATGGGGATTATCTGCAAAGATACATATTATTTCCTTCAAAATGTGTTTCCCTTACAGCTAATGCGAATTCTATGATTCCAAACAGATATTTTGATTCCTCGTACATGGTACAAATGAATTCAATGCATTCGTGAGTTGGGAATATATTTACTTCTCCATCAATAAATTCTCGAATGCAATTTGATAAATCATTGGCACACCATCCACAAATGACTACTTGATCGTGGTATGTGTTTCTCCTGAAGACAATATTTCAATAGTATCATTAATACCTGAGCTTACCTGAACTTATTAAGAATATCACAGACTCGGTGAGCAACGAAGCGTTTGGAAAGCTTAATCTGATCCTCTACTTCATATAAGCAATAATGCATTTTCTTTTGCCATAATTTGCATATTTCTCGAGCAATGCGTCTGAGTTCAGTCTTGTTACTGTCTCTCTCCTCGTTCATGCCATAGAGGAACAGTGTTCTCTGTGTCTCTTCAGCAATTCCATGTTCGGTGGGAGATATAGCAAGCTGAAACACAACTTCAGTAAAAGGCATCCTGGTACCATATAGTAACCTGAATGAGCATTCGATGCTTATACCACATAGCCTTCGGATCGCAAACTAATGGTCTTTCATACTTCAGCACTGGTTTTGGATAGATCAACGGCATTGTTGGTAATAATGCTGGGTTATAAGCATCAATGGAATCCACGTCTTGTTCATCCTCTTCTTCTTCCTTCACCATCTTAAATTTAGGCAATTATAAATATTTTGCGGGTTGAGATATTTATTAACCTCGTTGTCATATGTGGCTTCTTCTCCCTTGACACTAGCTGGTTCCATTTTGATTTCAACCGTCTCGTTTTTATCCTCAGTTTCATTGAGATCATCCGTTTCGTTCATTTCATCATATTCTATCTCATCCACCTCTTCCTTTTCTTCTTTTTCCACTCTTTCCACTTTTTCTTTCTTCTCCTTCTTTATATCGCGATCTTCTTCGAAACTCTTTTTGTATTGTTTAAAGTACGATGCGTAGTTCTTGAAGACAGGTGTGCGATAGTTGCATTCCGCCAATGATATCATTGATTTCACAAATGTGTCATGAGTGAAAAGCTCTAAGCGCATCATTTCATTCATGAGCAGCATTAGATTATCAAATTCGAGCTCATAGTTAGGCGAATCCGGCTGAAAATATAGATTTGTAACAGATTAGCTTTAACTGTTCATCAAACTAACAGTTGGAGCTTCAGATTCCCAATAGATTTCTACCATATCTAACATAGTGTATCCATTAAATGTTTTCGTCTCTTTTCTCTCGAGATATTTGGCAATTAACTAAATGAATAGTTAATTAGTTGTCAGAATAGTCAGCTTTACCATGGCAGCTATAATTGATCGATATGACCCCTCACGATTGATGGTCACGGCCCATTGCATTATAATCTTCATACGGAGAACAAGTTCCTCAGTGCCCAACTGTCTTTCGAAATTCCAGATGCTATTTGCCATATGACAGATGTTGTTAGGATTGAGTATGTCATAGGAGTCTAGCGTATTCAAAATGTTGAGACAGCACTCGATTTGTTTAGCTTAACCATATGGCTATATTAAATAATAAATCAAACAACTCACTAAAGACTACTAAAGGGTCTTCCGCAATATGCCACTTTGCTGCTGAATGCCTGCTGCGTTCTTTGATCTCCTCTAGCACCACATCAAACATTGAAGCATTTCGAGCGTTAACTAAATTGAAATAGAAATGAAATTACATTGGCAACATCTGTAACCCACCTGTTCCGGTTTTGGCAATCAGTTCCTTGAAATTTTCCTGCAAGTATGTAAACGGCGAATGTGCCATTTGCAGACTTCCAAAAAGCTTAAACTGAGACTTTCCAGTCTCCATCATGCTATGTGAACGTTTAGAATTCCGACGTTCAAACTTGGGTTGCCAAACAATAGCTGATGGACACTCAGAAGCAATAAATTGAATAATTCCAACAATTGTCTGATAATTCTGTTTTCGAAGGCCGCACGCGCACTCGTCAAACGCCAAGCTAAAGCATATTATTGCGACCAAATGTGGGAAAAATTCCGAGGCTCACGTATTCAAATCCTCCACTGTGAGAAATGCATTATCAGCTTGGCTTTCACCAATATAATCCATATAATTCTCTGATATATACTTTTGTGTTAATACTGGTACAGCTGGTTCAAAATTAACAAACTCCTTCTAAAAACAATGGATTACTATAGTCATTAGCATACGCAGGCACGCATCGCGCCAGCCTACACACCCTCATTAATGAAAGTTTGCAGCAGAGCATGTGTGCTACCCGTCGACTCAGCACCACATTCATAGGAAGATATTTAACAAACTTTGCAAAGTATTGAAGATAAAATCTGAAAAAGGAAATTTCCATTGATGAATACAGACTGAGAGCAACTCACCTAAGGATAACCTGGTTTTCAATAGTTTTAGTACTTAGTCTACGGAGAAAAAAATGGCAAAAAAGCTCTATCGAATCTAATGTCATATCTTGACGTTCAACTACTCCACACTGAAATCAATGACATGATTAGAAGCTTCTTATCATCATAATCACTTACCGTAATAGCATCTAATGTTAAATTGCTAACATATATCCATCGTTCTTTTAGAAAGAAATATTGTTTATAGTTTTTCATTTTATAAAAGTTTTCTAACATATCAAATAGGTATACGGTAAATAAAGCTCTATATTCTGAAAAAAATATAAAAATTATTGATTAATTGTAATATTACAAACCTTCAAATGGTGTTTTTTTAGTTCGGAAAGGCGGGGTGTTAGCTATTGATGCTGTAACTCTCATTGTCCACAATGCGCGTTCAAATGGAATTCTGAAATCATTGTATCATTTACATCACTCATACATTCAACTTACTTATATCTACACATTAAATCTATTAGTTCTTCTTTACGTTTGTTTAATAAAGGTATTCTCTTAACTAAGATGTTGAGAGGCTTTCCTTTCGCTAAATCAACTAGCCATTGATGCCGTTCCCGCAACTGTAATTCATTATAATTATGATTTCAAGTAGTTTCTGTTATATCTTACATTTCCGGCAAAAATTGACAGTGATGTCACGTTTAGCAAAGGTCCATCCCTAGCTTTCCTTCGCTCCCTTTCAAAATTAGTTGATGGTTCATAACGTCGTTTGACACACTGAAAACATCAGCCTTCGAATCCTTTAAATTCATGTCCGACTTACCAGGGCAACCATTGTCGCTGAGCGGAATAATAGCCTCTGTATTTGCTCCACTTTTTCTCTCAAAGTTTCTGGGGGTAATTGTCCCTGTCGGATTTTCTCCTTATCGCGCTCGTATCGATCATGTCGCAACGCTCCCACATGCGATTCATGTTCGAACGGTTTGATGGGAAACTTAAATATGTCATTTTGTGAAGAAAAAAAGTCGTTTTCGAGGTGAATCGATTAGTTTTAGTCTGATCGAGTGGACATATGTGTCTTAAGCAAATAAAACTGGCAAAGCAACTGGGGGAAATATTTTAAACCAAAATCGTAAGAAAACTAACCATATACCCCCGTACCAATCGATTGTGACTTAAAACATCTTCTTCTTGTTTTATATCCTGCGGATGGACATCTGGTGGACCTGTGAGAAATATGAAGATAGAACTTTTGAATACAACCAATATATATATAATGAATGCATAAAGTCATTCAACTTTGAATTATATAGCCTTTAAACAGTTGAATAACTTCTTAAAGATTTATATTTTAAGAATATGAATAGACATACCCAATCGATGCTTCCGCACTGGCCTTCGCTCATATGTGACTGAGTTCCAGGTAATGAGATTGGCTCGCATAACCATGGTGGCATAAGTTGTTATTTACAAAAGTATTAGTATCTTATCTCAATTTATCATTTCTGAAATATATATAATATAGTATTACATGTAAAGCAATTGTGGCACAGCTATATAACGAGAAAACAAATCAAATATGAAAATGAGAACGAGAAGACAAGCAAAAACATTTTTTTTTCAAATACTGTATGCATAGATAATTGCTAGAGAGGTAGAGACAAACAGAATATAGATTGATGAAATTGAAAAAACTAAATACAACAGATGACATTCAATGTCGAAATACGAGTCTGTCTCCCCTTGGTAGGCCGCCTTAAAACGGGTTAAAAGTATTAATTACAGTACAGTACGCTCACATAGATTGAAGAGTGTGAGAGAGAGTGAGAGAATGCGAATAGAGATCACCATACAGTAAAAGGAAGAGAAAAGAAAGAAAATGTGCCTAAGAATTTCGAATATGATGACATTTTCACACGAAAAATGGATTGAGATAGCGGTAGACATGAAACGGGACGGATATTACTTTTGAATACAGATAATGGGATACAAAAAAAACGCTAAACAATTTTGGCGCGCAAACATTTTTATTATTTCTTGTTGCGTCATTATGATGTCATATATATTTTTTTGGAGCATAACTGAAACTCATTTTAGCGTTTTCGGAGTGCTGACTCATCGTTTGTCATGTGGTCGTCGAGAGTGGGCGGGCTGTGTTTATACGCAGAGTGCTGCTAGGGGCGGAGAGCAGAGGTTATAGTTTGGATGAGATAAATTTCTTTTTTCTCCTTTCTTTCTTCTCTTGTAATTGTCTGATATTGGTGTGAAGTTTGTATTCTTGTTATAACAAGCTGTTCGAATCGATATCAGTGTACAACTTGAGAAGTAAATGAGACGAAGGTGAAAAAAAAAGAGAAAATATATATATATATATGAACCTTTTTCTTCATTTTCTTTTCGTCAATTGATGAACAGAAGTAAGGTGGAACAAAATATTTGGTTGAAAAGGAGGTGTATGGGAGAAAAAGAGATAGAAAGATGAAAAAAAAAGAGAACAAGTGGCGAGGTTGACAATGACGCACCTACTGTTAATGTCGTTTCATTGAGTATCGGTACAAGGGCGTCGCTGACACTCTTTCTTTGTCCACTTTTTACTTTACCGAATTTCCCAGCAATATAATAAAATAAAAAGGTCATTGAAGAGGAGGATAAAAAGGGAGGGCTATATGTCTATGTGTGTGTGTGTGTGTATGTGTGTGTGTGGTTGGATGAAAATATATTTTCATAACTCTCATTCTCTCTATATGAGCACTCTAGAAGGAGAGAAAGAAGGGGAGGAGATAGATAGAGAGAGAGAGAAAGAAAGAAGGAGGAAAGGAAAATGAAAAAGAAGAAGAAGAGGGGTGGGATTAATAAAAGATATTGAAATAGATTTTTGTCATTCATAATAACATTATACATTGTATTTATATATCTTATGTAAGATATCCAATATCGCTCATCAATATCATATTTGAGACAGATGATTAAGAAAGAGGCATACATGTATATATATATATATATATATTTTAATAATTTATATATTGGATATCTTATTTATATGATATAGCTTACAATTGATTTGACTATGACTTTCTCTTTCTTATGTATTTGATTGTGTTTTCTATTCAATTCAATACAATATAAGAATATTTGAAAGGGGTTATGAGTGTGATAGAAAGAGAGAAGTAGAGAGAGAGATCGAGAATGGAATAATGTTAAAACTGAAAAATTGTTGGCGCGATTGGGTGATACTGTTATCACGTTCAAAACTCTCAAATACACGTAGTTTATCTGATTTTATTATGGTGTTTTGCTATCTTGTATAATCATGATTGATATGGAACAGATTGAGTTGATAAGCAGTAGACAACAAAAAAAAAGGAAGAAAAAAAGATGGAATTCCATCGTTTTTTTTTTCTTTTTTTTTTGTTTCATCTCCTGCTTTGTCGTAGTTCTTCGCAATTTTTCGTTTTCCCTTCGTTTTCCCTTTTTTCCTTCTTCTTCTTCTTCTTCTCCTTTTTTTTCCCCTCACAATTTTTGATCATTGCTGAAATATGTAATTTGAAAGATGAGGGGTGGAGGGAAGCAGCAGCAGAAAGGAAACTAAGGAAGTTAATAATTCAGTTGGTTGAAGGAAAATAACATGAATGGCCTCATTCAAGAAAAAAGGCTTCAATGAAGGGGGAGAGCTTTGAAAATTCATAGTTGCCAACTTGTCGCTTGGACACGGAAAGCTATAATAAATGCGAAACAAATGTCAGTTTCTCCTCTGTGAGTGGTACAAATTGATGATTTTGAAGAGGACAACGAACTGCAAGAAATGTTTCAATTTATCTTAATCATTGCTCTTTTTCCTTATTCACATCCTGAATCATGTATTTGTTCCGCTGATAAAACTTCTTCTTGTTTATATACGGTAAGATGAAAATTGAAAAGCGAGAGCGAGAAAGAAGAGATGAAATATAAATTCGGAATGTCAATAGAAGTTTTTCGAAACGAAAAGGCAAGAAGAATATATATTTCTGTTCTGCATTTATGTTCGAAATAGTATATGGATAGATATGTTATATGTGTTTTCAGATAGTGAATAATGTTGTTCAAATCCAAGGTTGTAATTGTCCGAGTGGCTATACAGCATATCTCGAGACAGCAACAACCGGTACAGACGATCCGGAAGTTCGATGTTTGGATGATAGCCTAACAACAACAGTCGGTTCGTTCTTAGTCTACAGTAAGCATGGAAAAAGAAGAGAGTGAAGATAGAGACAAAAGGTGGGGGGAAAAAAAGATAAAGAGGTAGATTGTGAAAGAGGTTGATGAGGAGGCGAAGTGAGACAAAGAGAGAGATAGTTTGGTGGCGAAAAAACGATGAAAATGAAAAGGAAAACGGGGGGAATGAGGATGGGAAAGAAGAAAATTGAAAAAGAAAAAAGAAAGATTGACGATTATACTAATAATTGCGTATCATAGTGTCCGAAAAAGATATGGAAAGATTGGTTCAAGCTCAATTATTGCGATGTCATATATCATCAATGAATGAGACATGGGAAAACGTAACAAAAGTAAATGATATTTGACGATTTTTATGAAGCCATCATTCATTTTTCAAATAGTATTTGCTTGTGACAGCTGCAGCCTGGATTGTATTCTGGTGTTTGGCTTCCATTGTGACGAACATTCGACATAAGTAATGAATCAAGCTAACAAGATGCAATGAGAATGATTTTAAGTTGACTAATCTTATTTAGAAATTACGGTCATCATCGATATATTCATCTGTTTGAAGAAGTTATAATCGTGCTACTGGTAGCTGTCATAGGAGGAGTGAATCGATTTTTTCCATTGAAAGAGGTTCATATTTCTTCTTTTTTAAAGAAAAACGAGACTTGAAGAATGAAAAAAAACAAGAAACAACATGGAGACATAAACAGAGAGAGAAAGAGAAAGAGAGAGAGAGAAATGGAGAAGAGATAAACACATGCATACACATGCACACACACACACACAAGCACATGCAGAAGACGACACACACTCTCTCACATAAACACGTACAAGCCACACACACGCAAAAAGAATAAAGAAAACATATTTTTCCTCAGATTATAAGTATATGTTATTGAAATTTGATCATTTTTATAGACGATATGCAGAATTATTTCAATAGCAAGTCATTACTTGATGGTATCCGCAGCAACAGCCTTTCTAATGGAAGCTAACTTTGCTCATTCGTGAGTATTTAAGTGAAAAACGAATAATAAAATTACAAAAAAAAAAAAAAGAAAAAGAAGAAGTATAGAGGAATAGCCGAGAGAATAACTGAATAAGAATACCAACGGCGACTCATTTGAGCAAATGTTATCGACTAAACGGAGATATTTATTTTTTCCCATTACACAGAATGGTCCATGGAAAAGCTAACAAGAATGGAGTACCACCCGTTATATTGAATTACATTGTTCCATTAGTTTTGCCAGCTTTACCAGCCGGTTTAACATATTATTTTGAAAAAGAATATTATGGAGCATCACTTGTTCAGTAAGTTATATATAACTTGATAAGGAAGATACTATACATATACATCGATATAGATATATACATATATGTATTTCAGCTGTTTCGCATCACTGACCCGTGATATGATGTGGGGCTTTGTCATACCATCTTGGGTGTTATTATCAGCTGCTGTTGTGAAAGCTCAGCTCTCATGTCTATCTTGTGATCTAACACAAATGAATCAAGACAAATTGCAGTGTTTTTGGGCCAAGTAAGCATTTATATATCCATATATATATACGAAAATGAAAGAGTGAAGTCGATTTGTAGATGTAGAGAGGAAGAAGTGGGGTAGAAAAGAGAATTTGACGGAAAAAAATATCAAAAACTGGCTTGACATGACAATTCAGACGGGCAGCAAAAGTATTAGTGATAGTGTCTGGCGGTTTGTACTCTCTCTGGCTATTAACAATGCATGCAGTGGAGCAGTATGTAAGTACAGCTAAAAAAAGAAAAAAAAAAGAAAAAAAAAGAAAAAAGAAAAGGGAAAAATAAAGTAAACTATTTCATTTAACTATACTCTCTCTATCTATTAAGAAAATCTATCTGTTTATACTGGATTTTGTTCTTTGTCTGTTGTATGGGCCGATATTGTTTGTCTGTCATACTTATTGTCATGAGAATGTGGGTGATTATTGCTCAAAAACATCCATCTCAATTGATTTATCTATTTGAAGACTTGCACTAAGTGGGGTGGAAAAGCAACATGTTTAGGATCCTTGTATTATAAGTGCATTGATCAAAAGTCACCAGTAATATATGAAGAGAAAATAGTTTATGTTCCCAATAATCAAAATGTAAGTTTTGTGAGTGCAGTGCTAATCAATCTCCCATCCATTCCCCCCCCTATGCTTTCTCTTTCTCGGAATCATCCAAAAGCTATATCAGAATCACATTCATTTCCCATCAAATGATCAAAAAGTGTAATTGAATGAAATCTATTTGAAGGATAAGGACATCAGGAAGCCATATGAGATACCAAAGCCAGCTGATACTGTCTATATGAATCCAGCAACAGCAAAGCCTACGGTGATAAAACATATTATTTATTTATAATTAACAATTTATTTATTTAAAGGAATTAGGTGGTGATCATGTTCCAGCTCAACGATTCTATTCCTGGTTGACAGAGCCATCTTCTAATTCCAATATTCTATTTAATCGTAACAAATGATCATTTGAAACTGCCAACTCATAAAGGTTTTGTGTAATAAAAATCATTTTGGGGTCAAATTAAGTTTCATTTACGATCTCTAATTGATTACACTTATTACATACACACATAGATCTTCTTGTTTTACTTGTTCAACTTCATGACAAGATAATCTCATCTACTTTGCCCATTGGCCAAATATTTTCCTATTGACCTGCGTTTGGAAGGCTTTTGTTGAATAGATGACGTCCATAAGAGTTCCAACAAGTTTTTCACTAAAATATAGATAAACTTAACAAGTTAAAAACTAGTTTGTTGAAAATGTCACCTTGTATTCACATGATCATCGCGTTCTGGCAAAAATTCAACAATTTCAGTTGCAATTAAGCGACTTAAATCTAATTTTTGGAGACACTTCATGAATTCTTTAGCGTTGATTCCGTCGTCTTCTGGAGTGCCAACAGCAGGAGCAAATAACGTATCAAAGCCATCTATATCAATTGACATTCCAAAACCAATTGTGTTTCTGAAGAAGGAAAATGTAATTGGATAATAGAATTAAATTGACTACTTGTTAACAAGATCGTAAGCTTCTTGCATTACGTCTTCAATTCCTCTTTTCTTCACTTCATCCATTAAGAATACTCGAACACCAAGACTCTTCAACAATTCCTGCAATCATTCTTTGATTGACAGTTGTTTGCCTCTGTCATTCACATTGGTGAAATGAAAAAAATTATTTTTCCAGGGATCAGTTGAATAAAAAAAAAGAAAAAGAAAAGAGACACTTGATTGTTCGATGAACAAGTAAGTTTGAAGCATGTTTTTGCAATTTAATTTTCTTTTCCCCGAAAAATCTGTTCATCGTTGTTTTTTATGTCTTTCCCATTAAAACTCACTTCTTCTGGAGGCTCATAACTTCGTATTCCCACCAGGCACAAGTTCTCCGGCTTTATTTTTGTTTTGAAGCCTTCTATCGAAGCCAAATTGTTGTTTCCAAAGCCAAGTATGTGTGCGACTGGCATTCCATGAATATTTCCTGAGGGAGTTGAATCAGGGGTGTGCGAGTCCTATTCAGAAAGAAAAAAAAAGTTTTTTTTTTGTTCCGCCATTGTGTATTATAATTTGTCTCACCATATGTGCATCTACCCAAATGAGTCCAATATCGCCTTTTGCCTTCATTGCAGCAGAAACTCCGCTCCAAGTTCCGATTGCACAACTATGATCGCCGCCTAGTACGATGGTTTCGTCGTTGGTCTCAATAGATTTCCGCGTTGCAGATGAAAGATCAGTACATGTCTGGAAATATATTTTTTAAACAAAAATTTTCCGTCTGAGGGGCCGAAACAAAAAAAAAAGACTTTTCGTCATTCTCACTTTTATTACACCCTGTAAAGCAGCATGATGTCTTCCGGTCACTGTTTCTTTAATCATGGCTTCCCATTTGACAGGAAATGAAATGTCATTAAGATATTTCGACTTTCTAAGCACTTCAGCTGCTTTCTCACATCCTAAATGTCTGAAACGAAGATTGGATGGATGGGAACGTAAGTGAAGAAGATTTGAGCCAACCTTCCAGCATTTCCATTAGCACATCCTATTACTGATAAAACTCGTTGTGCAATAGTATGCGTCAACTTCATTATCAATGAGGTGATGAGAAAGCTGATTGATTAAATGAACTTAAAGAAAGTTTGGTTAATGTGAGAAAACTAACAATTCCACAGATAATATATCATTTGCAGACCAAGGCCATATTAGGGAACCGGATTTTAAGATAATAATTTGGTTTGGTAAGAAAAAAAAGAAAAAAAGAAGAAAAGTTATTACGGCATATTGATATGGTCGTTTGATGATTAGAGAACATCAAGAACAGCCATGATGATAGTTGAAACGCTCAAACTTTCTTACCTTATATACCAATATGCGGGGGTTGTATTTCTACAGTTACTGATGACATGTTATAACCATCTACATCATCATTGGATTTAGAGCCTATCATATTCCCTAACTCGTGCATAAGCCATTGGGGGCCAATCGTAAAACAGTTTCAATTTTCCTAATGAAGTTTTGACGCTTTTACGATTTCCTTTTCAGGTTATAATTACCTACAATCTGGGAAAGTGCGTTCCATCACACATTGGAATCTCCTAAATGATTGATAAGGTTATCCGATACACTTCTCTATATGATAATGCTTGTCTCTCTCTATAAAGAATGTAGAGAAAAAAAGAAAAAAAAAAGAAAGAAGGAACGAATATATATTGGAACATCAATATTATATATCATTAAAGAGATGAATGTAACATTAACTTTCCATGTTGCATGTGTATGTCATAAGGGGTCATTTCATATATGGAGATATAGAGATATTTATCTTTCTATTTATAATATATGCGGAAATTGAAAAAAAAACTGTTTATTCAGCACGAAAAGACATTAGAATTAGCATATAGAGAGAGAATAGCAAATAGCACGTTCATATGATGCAGTTGCTGTCAATAAAAAAAAAGAAAATGAAATAGATGAAGAGAGGGGACCATATATCTATTACTTTATAATATGAAGAAAAAAAAATGATATTGAACTATATAATAAAACATATCTTAATATATATATATATATAAATATGCAAGTGAATATGGATAGAGATAGAGAAGAAGGGGGGATTAAGTATAATGTCTCCATTGAATTATTATGAAGTGATACGAATAAATTACGTTGAGAATGCATGGTTAGGCAGTTGGTTAAGATATTTCACAGCTTTAAGTCAATTTCTCATTAAGTAAGCAGGTGCGGCTTTGGGCTTTTCGTTTCTTTCATTAGCTCCGCAAGCTGTCTTTAATTGAAATCATTTAAGATGACGTTCTCACTCTTATTTCAAACCTCTTTAGTATAACCGCTTTTGTGACCAATTCTTTTTCCTTTGTTTTCCATTGATCTAATGTTGCTCGTAACCCGTCCGTTTCAGACCAATTCCTTTGCCATCGGAAAAACAAACGATCCCAAAGTTTCTGAATGATATATCAATCAATCAGACACTGAAGTAGTTAAGTCTTACAAAGCATTGAGGCAGAATTGACGGCCAAATCACTCCTTTGTTGGGATGGTAATCGATGTTCATGAAGGTTCGACATACTTCAGGATTGTTTATATATGACCAGAGAGAGACCGTGCGTTCTTTGATTTTTTTCTGAGCCTTTTCATTTTCATTGCATCCTAAGAATGTTCCGAATTCACTTGCGTAGGAATGCTCAAATAAGAAAATCAATAAGTGCTCGTCAAATTCAAAGGCACTCGGGTACTGGTGCATAAGCTGCAAGGAATTTAGTTTCATAGTTCATGTTTCTTAAGCCAACCTCATAAACTGCGTTTAGGAAACAGAGAAAAACAGGGCTTTCGCTCCTTCCCGTGACAGCCCCTTGAGCATAACAACTATGGGCATTGCGTAATTGAAATGGATGGCCTGCCATTATCCACTCTCTTTCAATTAGAGATTGAAATCTTAATGAGGACAACTATAGTTGCTTTTGAAAAACATATCAAATACCCTCGGAATGTTCTAGCATCGGGATCTAAAATGAGCTGAGCTAGCGAAGTTGTTGCAAGTGTTGTATCAACACCTTCTCCTCCATGCACAAGAACTGGAACAGCTATAAGAACACATCGCGAATATACAACAACTAATGCGTTGACAAATGATCGTTTTACTCTTTTCATTCAATTCTAGATCATCTTCGAAAGAAGCGAATCAATTAGCACAAAAAAGCATCAGCGATGAAAAAGCTTCAGTAGTTTACTAGTTCACTCAAAGCTATTGAGCCATTTTTTTCAATCTCATGCATTCCTCCAAAACTTTAAAGCTTTCTAGCGTACGAACCTGGTGTTGCATCACTTTCAATACATTGAGCTACATTAGCAGCCGCATTTATCATATCCATCACCGAATGTTGCCATTGACTTTGATTAAGCCGCGATAAATACTTATCAACGCTCATTCCCGAATCATTGCAAACTGTAACATTTCATTAATTCTTTTCCGTCTTATTTGTATTGTTATTACCATCCACGAGTTTGGTCAAAGATTCTTTAATATCGGAGATCTTTGGACATGGACATGTGACGTATCGCCATTGTGAATAATGCATGACTGCTTCAAAGCCTCCTCCTTTAGATTTAGAGGCAATGGCAACTGATTTGTGACGTGTATCGAAGATGATTCCTCTTGAAAGAGTGACTAATGAATTCAGAATCGATTCATCTTCCCGACAACGTCTGTTTGTTGGTCCGATAAGTGGTTGGCCACTACGAAAGATGCAAGACTGAAATTCAATTATATATTCTATACATGAATATAACAAACTCACTTTTGTTCGGGGATGATAATAGCTAAGAATGGGGAACCGAGCTCCATCTCGGAATGTTGCACTAATGCGAAGATAGTCATCACCAATACCTTTGGGGACTATAACCTTCTCAGGATATGATCGACATACCTATATGAGGTTTTGATGAGAACGAAATGTTTTTCAAATGGCTAACCTTATAATTTAAATTAACAGAGCTTATTCTGAATGAATCCCCACTGACTAATTTGATTCGATTAAATTCCTGTTCGATATCAAATGCATTCCATCCATCATCAAGTATTTCAAATGGACTTTGATAGTAGAATGGATAATCATGATCACAACCATCTAAATGAGTTCAGTATATTGGATATCTTCTAATCTTCTCATAATACATATGTTTGAAAGTGTCTCAATTGACTGCTTAGCTAGTTGACACTGATCCCAATGAGGAACTTCAAAGGCTATTATCTGTGTTCAAAGTTTCATATATCACCCTCTAATTATAATTTCAAACCAGAAAATTCTTGAGTTTCAAAGTTAATATGCCTCCTCGAGCAGGCTGATCTCTTTGAACTAAGTCACATGTAATTCTATCAACGGTTCGATGAAGTAGCTGAATAAATGATTATCTAGTCAATGAACATGTTCTATCTACTTACCATGAAATCTTCAGATGCAGCATTTCGAGCAGCTTGTGAAAATATTAAATGATGACCTTAATAATTGAAAGATATACATAACTAACTATAATATATATAACATACTTAATATAGCTAATGATCCTACATGATTCTTTCTCGGTCCTTTAATCATAATAACATTATTAACACGCGGAATTCGTATTGCTTCAGCTAACTCCATTATGACTGAATAATTAGAATGCTTCTTATATGTACAACGTCGAACAAATAATAGTTTATATTACACTAGTCATCCTTTTTTTTACCATTTTTATAAATGTTGGAGAGGCAGTCAATAAATGCGGTTCGTTGCGAGACCAATATTGGGACGCTCCTTTTAAAAATTGATAAAATGCCAAAACAAATCAACCGTAAACAACATGTTGGAATATATTAAGCATGTTCATATATATAATTTGTCTATGTCCCTATGAATGAGTCAGTTAAGCAGTTATCGTCTTCTGCAAATGCATTATCAATTTCATACTTTCATTTTATTCGTTTTAAAAATGTGTAAAGCATATGCTTTGAAGATATATATATAAATATATATTTTATGACCAGTTGTGTGGGTTTTGAGGTTTTTTTGTGAATGATATATGAGACAGGATAGAGTGTTTAAGTGTGCTGAAATGCTTTTCCTTGATTTTGCAAGATTTTTTTCAATTCTCTTTTAATCATTTGAGAAAGGCGAAGTAAACGTTTGCCAATCTATAGAAATGATTCTAGAAGGATGATGATGGTGATGATGTGTTTTGAGCTTTCTCTTGATAAACATTACGATTTGTTTATTTCATTTTCCTGTTTTCTTTCCATTTTGGATGATGGAAGAAGTCACACGGAAGCCATCACATCAGAATCCTCTTTTCTGTCAGTTAAACAGAACTTTGCTGCTGAAACGTATGATTATCCAATCAATACATTGTTTTCATCATGGCAACTAGAGAGAATGAGAAAGAAAAAATATTTATTTTAATTTTGCAAATATAGCATTTACTGTTTGAAAAGCTCAAAACATGTTTTTCCATTCTCTCCACCTCCCCCCTTCCTTTCCATATATAGATCAACGTCACATAATACAGTTGATAGAAGAATGATTTCTGTTTTAACAACCTCAATTATATTTTAAATGGTCTGAAAGAAGAGACAAAGAGAGAGTGAGAAAGCGAGAAAAAATTTTTTATTCTTCCGATTACATTTGGCTGATGATTAGAAGCAGCAGGAAAAGAGGATGGATTATATAACAGAAAACTAAAATTGAATTTTCGTTTTCAAGCAAGATATCTATTTTCTATGTCTAATAAGATTTCAGTGAAAGAAAACACACAATTTCCAACGGCATGGCAGGGGCTGAAAATCTGAAAAAAAAAAAGAAATAAAAATGAATAATGGAGGGAAGAAGAATAGGCATATGATGTATGAGGATAGGTTAGATCATGTTACCTGTTGAGCTTGATCTCATGGATACTGTATACTCTGCTGAAGGGTTTTCGCCTAATGATCTCAGGTTGTAATACTGATTCTGTGAAAAGAATATTATGTTAATGGAAAAAAAAAGTATATTTGATTATAATTATAATCACATACCATGAATGCTGCTGACATTGTTTGATCAGTGAGAATGGCCAAGAACAAGAAGAGAATGAAGTATTGGATTAACATTATTTTCTGAATTGTATATGATGATCACGGTTAGTTAGTATAGAGAAGGTATAGAGAGACGAAGATGCTATATTCAGATATAATATCTATAACAACTATCATATCCATAGGGGAAAACTTGAGCCAAGTGATCGGATATGAGTAAGAAACTGATTCGCAAAACAACTTGTGAGTGAAGTGAGATGAATTTTCTGATCACGTTTATCTATTCGGAGCAAACCCATAAGTCATTAGTTTTCATTGCTTTAAACTTGTGTGTGTGTGAGTGTGTATGCTCTCATGCGATTTTTGCACAAGTTATGAGAGAAGCTGTAATAGAATTTAATGTTCAGCTTCTATTGTCTAGGAAATAACTTTTTCATTTTTTTTTGTTAAGTGTGAATGAGACACATACACACAAAAATGAAAAAAGAGAGAGAAAAGGAGAGTAAAATGAAAAACCGAAGAGACTAAGTGAACTGATGATGAAAAATTCTTTATTTTCTACGTTCAACTGAACATTTAATACTATATGATATAATATAATTATAATAATTAGCAAATGAAAGTTGAATAGCGGGGGGGGGATTGAATGAAGTGAGGGTGGGTGTTTTGAATTAGATTGATGAGCTGGGTCAAGAAATATTCAAACAGATTCACACAACTACATCTTCGGAATCTTATTTTGTATGTCAGTCGTCGTCGTTCTCTGCAAATCTAAAATGAAACTTTGATTATTATTGAGCTGGTATGACAATGTTCATTAGATGATGAACTGTGTGTGTCTATTATTATATTCAGATGTTCTCATGGATCTGTGAGTATTCAGTGTTCGATTCAGCAATTCTCTCTCATACTTTCTCATTCTCTCTCTCTTGTAATACAACAGCTAATTCTTATTATCTGTCCTTCATCGTTGTTATTCAGATTTTCCGATTCAACATCTTTGAACGACATCTCAATATCCTGCTCTTTGCTTACGTCAATGTTGCTCATTGTATTGAATGTTCATTTTTCTTTTTTCTTTTTTATTCTTTTTGTTCTTTCATTTCTTAATAATTGCTTATAAATCTTTCTTATTTCAGTCATCAATCTCCTACACATCTCTTCCCACATTAGACATCACGACTGTCAACACATGTATTATTGAAGATAGAGGCTTTTGAGGGTGAAATATCGTAGTAACGATACTTAAATATGACGCAATGTTCAACTGGAAACTGATAAATAAGAATTCATTTTGATGATATTCACATCTGAAAGAGGGAAGTTATTATAACAAAAATAATCATTTTTGTCCAAAATAATAGAAATATATTTTGAAAATGGAAGTTATACCTTCGTATATACCAAAAATGAAAAGAAAAAGAAAAAAAATTTTTTTTGTTTTTAATCAACAACCAGATCGGAAGTTCTTCATTTCTACTTCCCGCTCACAGAAGTGAAATCATCGTTGTTATTGAGTAGATTGGATAAAAAACATTTTAATGGAAGGATTCACATCATCTGTGGCTTTTAACAGTTCAGACTTCAGAATGGATCTGAATGAAAGGTCAACGAGTTGTTCTTGTCGGTTCTGCTATGAAGATGATGTAGAATCTCATGAGAATCTATGAGTGAACTCAGATGATCGTTGGATGATCATCTAATCTATGTTCTTTGGAAATCGAATGTTGTTCATCCTGGAGTACTTGGGAAACGAAAAGGTTTTTTGTAAATACAGCCAACACATCTTTTCAAATTCAATTTTTTTTTGAGAATAAGAGGGAAAAGGGAAGAATTATAAATTTTCATGTTGAATATCATTCGCTGTCATCGTCAGAAATTTATTGTCAAAGAGGATCGGCCAGTTTTTTTTTGGTCTATTCCGTTCAGAGCAAACAGCTATTTATGGAGAGAAATGAAGGTTGTTAACCTAACATCATGGATTGATCTGAGATACGCGAGTGAATGAGGAGAGGATAGTTTCAAACAACTCGCTATGTTGGCAAGAGATGTCAGATAGAATTGTTAAAGTTTACATAACTCTTCAACATCTCATATTCATCTTGAACATGACGGAAAGAACTGTGAAGTAGAGAACCATTTGTTTGAACAGTTCGATAATAAAATGTTTATTCAAACTTGATGAGATCATGCTAGTGTTATATGGTTGCGATGAGATTGTCGGAGCACTTGAAGAAAAAAAATGTTTTAAAGATTAGAAATTGATTTCAGTCTACACCTCTATCAGAGGACAATCTTGGTCAGCCTTCTATAATCTATTCGTTTTCTTCAAATTACCTTGAATGGTTGGAATACGTGATGTGCCCATCATTCATATTGGCAAACATAACAATGTAGTTGTAGCTTATAAAGGTGTGATTAAGCCCCAATTTGAATAATCTCTAATCATTTCTGAATATTTATAGAAAAGAAATATGTTGAAACGATTATTGTAGAAGAACGAATACGATATATAGATCGAAGGTTTGATTTTTGTCCATATTTGGCTTTGTATTGAGATTTTCCCACGATATACTATATTTATAATATTTCTTTGCTCTTTCGATTTAGAAAGCATGATAAACCAAGGCAGAATGTGAAAATCATCAGAAAACCAGTTGTTCTCAAATCGGCAGATGATAGCAGTGAAGTTTGTTTATGAAATTATCATAAGTTATGATATAATATATGAGTGTTCAGTATCTGTCATCATCATCAGGTAGAGGATCTGATTCGGATTGCAGTCAACGTATGGAATCGCCTTTACATCGGTTAGTTGATAGATTTAAACTAGTTTAATATGTATTTTAAAACAAATTAACATATAATATATTCATGTAAAGTATGTTCAGAGTCTAAAACATCAATTCTCTCTACATCTCTCTATCTCTCATGTTCATCCATACTATCTATTATATAATCCATATGAATAGAGGATATAATCTGTTTAGTGTAAATGATATGCTCGAACTGTACCCACCTCAATCAAACCATTCCATTTTGAATATTTCATTTTTCGAAACTTTTTCAAAAGAATATGTTCAATCTCTATTTCATTTCATTCACATACACACAACCACAACTCTCCTTGTAATTTCATTTTTTTCCAAAAACTGAACATCCTTCATATGTTTGTTCGTTTTTTTTTCTTTTTTTTTCTGATAGTCATATCATATTGACAAACCATTTTGAATTTATATTACCTGTTTGCTTTGGTTAACGTTTATCATATGGGCTTGTAGTGTATACCAACTGTCAAACACGATTTCTCTTCTTCTTCAGAGATTTTTCAAATATTGTTTTTAATTTTTATACATTTCAATATGATTTTCTATATTTTGGTATTTAGGATGACTGCAACACCGCCTAAGGCAAGTCCCACTATGTTCACTAAATCGTATCAACGAGATATTTATTCTGGCACATGTATGAGACCTTTTGTTTGTTTTTGCTTTTTATGCACTCGTTATAGACAGCTCCAAAGGATCAGGTATGTCTGGCACCAGCTTAACAATGAATATAAGGGAGAATCGCGAACGCGAAAAACGGGAAATGGCTCATCTAAATGATAGATTGGCATCATATATTGAGAAAGTGCGTTTCTTGGAAGCACAAAATAAGAAAATGGAAACGGATTTGTTTGCAATGAAGAATCGTCTCGGCAGCGGAACAGAGCATATTCGAATTTTCTGTGAAGATAAGCTGAGTGTTAGTTAATTTAATTCATTTCCGGCTTAAATGACGTTTTTATAGACGTCTGAGAAGTCAATTAAGTATTCTAATGATAATCGGAAGAAACTAGAAGATGAGATTGTTAATCTCATGCCACAGCTTGCTAAATTGCGTGAAAAGCTGGAAAATGCTAATGCGGATCATAAAACGTTCCTTGAATCTGCTGATACTTTGCTCAAAACTTTGAGTTCATTAGAAGCAGAGGTAGTTGTATTAACATAGATCACTCATTTGTATTCATTTCTCAACAGATTAATTACTACAAACGCAAAATCGAATTAATTGAGACGGAGATTGCTGATATGAAGAAGAAAAATCAAAAAATTCTTGCCGATCTCAATAATACTAGAAAAGTAATAATGTTTTTCTGCATTTGTCATTAGACTGAATTCTATTTCAGAATAAAGACAAAGAGATGCTTTCTCGTATCGACTTCCAGAATCAAGTTTCGGTGTTATTGGATGAATGTCAGAGCATCTATTCAAAGCAATCAAATGTACTGCCAGTTAGAGCTACTCTAATTATGTCTTTCTCATTCAGACAATGACTGATCTGTTGGTTCAAGCTCATCGCGATACAACTCCCGAAAATAGAGAGTACTTTAAGAAAGAATTGGCTGCTGCCATTCAAGAAGTTCGTGATGAATATGAATTGGTGAGACAGTAGCTATCAAAACCCCCCGTTATATGTTTTCCCTCAGATAACGAATGCTGCTCGTACCGACATTGAGTCTTGGTACAAACTAAAGATAAAAGAGATTCAAACTTATACCAAGAGTTCTGCCATTGAGCAAACATCCGCACGTGACGAGATAACGAAGCATCAGAAAATTCTTAAAGAATTGAGATACCGTTTATGTGACGTAGAAAGCCGTAATCATGTGCTCGAGAAGGAAATTCAAGACCTCACCTACATGATAGATGATGAACACAGGTTGGTGTTTATTCAAGACAGATGACTGACTATGGTCACATTGTCAGAATGTTCGAAGCAGCCATCAGCGAGAGAGATTCAAACATTCGAACTCTTCAAGATGAATGTCAAACCTTATTGTTGGAATTACAAATGCTTCTTGATACCAAAACAGTGAGGAAAAATGACTCATAAGAGCCGAACGTTGACTCATACACTTCAGACCCTTGATGCTGAAATAGCAATCTACAGAAAGATGCTTGAAGGAGAAGAGAACAGAGCAGGCCTGCGACAACTTGTAGAACAAGTTGTCCGAACAGATTATTTGAGTAAAGACCATCTAATCGGTATCATAAGTAAAGCTTAACGAAACTGATAAGATACATCTTTAGATACAACCCTCATTCGAACATCCGAAACCTCATCACGAACTAATGTGCAACGTTCTTTCCAAGGAAACATTCAATTTTCTGTGAGTTTCATCTCATTTGCTTTCTCTCCCTCTCTTACACTCTCTCTCCCTCTCTCTCTTCATGACGTTTTCAACATTCAATTTGATCTATTAAATGAATTGATAAGAGAAGAAAATATAAATTTCAATATCATAAATCGGATTATATATAAAACATAGTTATTTAGGAACGTTCACCTGATGGTCATTATATTGTATTACATAACAATAATCAAATGAAAGATGTTGATATGAACAAATGGAAAATCAAGATTATTGATAAAACAATTGAAAATGTTTATGTATTCCCGAAAACATTTGTATTGAATGCAAATCAATCAGTTAAGGTAGAGTTAAAGAGATTTTCCATCATTTACGATGTTTATAACATTCATTTAAGATCTATGCGCGTGGTCGAGGTCTTCATTTACCACCCGCATCTTTAGTATATGATGATGATGAACATTGGGGAACATCTGCTAATATCCAACTCATTCTTTACGATAAAGAAGATAAGGTTCGTTCACTATTCAGTTCTTATACTCTTAATATGTTCCATTTTGAAGGAGAAGGCCAAGTTGGCATTCGAAAAATCAGCAAATTGATCAGCTTAATCTATCTTCAACATAGGCTGTTATATATAATATAATATAATATATATATATATAGGAGCTTTCGAACTACAACCATAATTCTTAATCTTTTTTTTTTGTTCATTCATTCATTCTCTCTCTCTCTATATATATATCTCTGTCTCTCTCATTTCTTCCAATCTTCATGCACACACCACACACACACACATACAACTATTTCATATGCTGTCATAATGCTTTTTGAATAAATCTTCTTTTTACTGAAATGCAATATCCATGATTTTCTTATTTGAACAGTATGACGGCTCCTCAATGGTAATTCAATCTATTTCAACACGTTCTCAGCAGTTTTATTCAGAGTATACGTAATACGTAATTTTATGTGTATATAAGAGTGTGTGTGTATGTGTGTGTTTTTTAAAATATTTATGTATCGCCCTCGAATATATATTTATTCAAATAATTGGAACGGGCGGGAAAAAAAGGAACAATCATTCAAATGTACATTCACACGCATACACACTCTAATGTCCTGGAATTAAAATAATTGTTTTACAAATTCTTCTTTAATAGGCCATTCATGAAGCTGTCTATAAAATAAATAATACATTCAGCACATAGTAGAGTAATACAAAGAGAATTTTCAATGCTCTTCTAGCATAATGAGATGAAGCTTTTGAAACTGTGTGCATGTGCCCTATATGTAGAGAGTGAGAGAGAGTGAGAGAGAGATAGGAAGTAATGAATGAGAAAAATTATTTTTGCATGTCATTTGAAGAAATTCTCATATCATGAACAGTATATGACAGCAGCATCCGATTTCCTTTCTCATTCACTATTCTGTTCGTTTATATTTCTCTTTTTCTTTTTTGTTCCCTTTTTCTTTCATTCTCTATTTCAATATCATTTTTAATGTTCAGAATGGTTTTGAACAGATAGATGAGAATGAGTGAGGGAGAGAGGAAAGCATTTTTCAAAGAATAAGATCCATTTTCAATCTTCTACTTGTTTCTGTATAAACATCACAGATGCATTTGCCTATTGTAATGGCTGTCTTTTGGGAGTGTGGGGGGATGGGAGTGAACGAATGTCTAGTTCACACGTGGTCTACCGAATTAATATCCGGTTATCCAAACTTTTCCAATCCAGCCATTCAATGAATATTTCTTCAGCCAGATATATTCAATAATATTAGCATAAAACTAGATTGTTGATTCCCCCCCACCATCATTGGAATATTCTCACCCCCTTTCTATATGCATCTCCCCTCCCCCCAAACACCTAATGCCAACATTATTTCAGCTGTTTCATGTGTTCCTTTTTTATCTAAATAAATGAAAGTTTGAATAGACTAGGCTACTTCTCTCACTTCCTTCTCTCCCCCTCCTTTCGCTTTCTCTTTCTCTCTCTTTGCGACCACAAATCGATTGCGTTAACAATTAGAGTTTTAAAATGAATTTGAACTTTGCAATGCTGTTTCGTTCAGCATTCGCCTATTCGTACTGAGTGAACATGATGAGTTGTGTGTGGCGAACATAAAATAATTCAAATATTCATATGAAGTTTAGCATTCAGTCTTTGGTATGAATGGCATTCATAAATAATTCCCAATTTTGGTGGCTCAGATTCTGACTCTCTCTCTCTCTATATCTCTCTCTCAATAAGTTCTAAGACACAATACATCGTCTTCCAACAATATATTCACCAAACTTTACATCATCATCATCACATTGTCAAATTTTCTTTTCGAAATACAACTGGCAGCCTTTCGGAATTGCAAACTTTATTTAATCTGGCTGGTTTTGAACTATACGATGCACTATGTTAGTTAGGCCACAAATTTAAGCCATGTGTCCATCATTCTCCTCAGCGGACATTTTCCAATATTTCTTCACTATTTCACTGACATGCCTTCTCCCTCGTCCCATCTTCTTTTTCTCCTCTTTTCAATGTATTTCTTTCTGTTCCGTCGTTCTTTCTCTTTTCTAATACATCCTTTCATCCATTCACTACATTTTCATCATGGGGAGTACTTTCGTTTCCCCAGAAGACTTATTCTTTCTCTTTTCCCATTTTCTTCTTTACTTTTTGTCATGTCATTTGTTTAAATGGCATAACTATTTAAATCTCCAGGGACTTAGATCAAGATAGTCATAACTAGCGTTAGTGCATAGATGTGTCAAAGGCCGCATGCTTTTTGAACTTTAGTCTACATGAACTATTTTAGTATAGTTTACTTAGAAGCAAAAAAGAGACAATCACAAAAAAGATATGATATTCTCACGTTTATATATATATTTATATATATACCTGCATTTTCACGTGATATCTGTTTCATGTATCATTTCTGATTACAACCATCTGTTCCCTCTTTCTCTCTCTTCACCTCCTTATATATCAGCTATTTTAATAGTTTATATTCATTTTCTCTTTTATTTCGTACAAAGAGCACTTATACTTTTAAGCTCTATACTTATACTAGTTTCTTGCTTGTCAAAATCACAATTGAACCAGTCGTTTGTCATATCTGCTCGTTGCGGCCCTTTCTTCGTATATTCTAAGGAAATTCTAATGACGTGCGCAGTTCAAATCATCTTTGGCAAAGTCATGTTCAATCCTATTTTGTCGGCTATATTCTTTTTGCTACTACTAAAACATTTACTACATTTTTACTTATACAAATGCGCAATTCGTATATGCTTAATGTTTCTGTCTTTCTTCGTTTTTCACTCGCTCTGTTCCTTCATTTGTCAAATACGAATGCCATTTAAATCTCAGTAGACATCTGAATCAAGATAGAAAGACTCAAGTGCAATATACTTAGACATTACTAAACGAGAACTTACATAGTTTAATAGGGTTGAATGCACTATGGCTCTCAACCATTTATAGTAAAATGCAATCATTCATATACCTCATTTCTCTGTTCCAATTTAATATAGAGAAATGCTTTTCAGCCTCCCCCTCTCTTTCTCTCTCTCTCTCTCTCTCTCTCTCTCTCTCTCTCTCTCTCTCTCTCTCTCTCTCTTTCTCTCTTCTCCATTCATCTCATACTTTTTATAATATTTATAAAAGTGTTTAGAAAATTTATTCAAATTTCTAAACATATTCGTTATATATTATCAATTGTGCGTGTCCCGTTCCTATAATCAGGCTGATAAGGTTGGAACTTAAGCATAAACTTTCTGAATAGGTGGAGACTTCAGAATGCTGATATTATGTAAGGTCTTATCATTCAATCAAGTTTCATATCAAGACTGTACAAGTTGCATACGTTCGTCAAGCTTTATTATTGCTCAAACACACACAACACCACACACATACACACGCCATCTCCCATATTTCGCCATTCAAATCAATTTTTATTTCATTTTTCCTTCTTCTTCTTTTTTCTTTTTTTTATTTTATATATATATATTCTCATTTCTTATATTTGTTCAGCAAAAATAATTTGCAATGTCTCAATTGGAGAACGCTGGATTCTCTTTCATGAAGCTCTAATTTAATTTTAGAAAAATGACGTTGTGTGTTATATATGAATTTGAACAAAAAAAAAGAGAAAGAAAAAAGAAAAAGTATCGCAGCAGCAGCAGCTGACCCGTCTTCGTCTTAGTTAGAGAGAGATATTATAAGAAAATTTTTAAAACAGGAATTTTAAAGAATCAAATGGAGGATCGGAAAGTGAAGATTGTGTATGAGAGAGAGTGAGATAGAGGATGTGAAAGTGAGAGATAGATTAATAGAGAGAATGTAAGATAGAGAGAGAGTTTAAGAGAGTGCATAGAAGATATAAGAATTGCTTCACAGTTGGCTAAAAACAAGGACTCTCTCTATCTTCTTCATTTAACTCTCTCAATCTCTATCACTATTTGCATTCCTTTTGCCGTTACCCTCTATATCACCACATAATCCTTTTCATTAAAATTGGAAACTATCGCTTTCAAACTTTGCATCTTCTCATTTTGAATCATGATGTTCCAGCTCTTGTCTCTCAAAAATTTTTGCTTGAAAACGTTAATGCTGTGTCTTAGCAATAGAAGTTGTCTGCCCTTTTCTCTGCCCTACCTGAAACAATCTCCATATAATGCATTATATTTTCTCATTTTGCCATCCAAAAACGTACTTATAGCTCATATTCCTTCAACACACATACATACATATACACTTTGTGTTCTGGAATACGTAAAAACTCTTCATAGTCATCTTCCTACTATGTAAGAAAGAGAGAGAGAAAAAAAGATATTTAAAAATGAATATTGTTTGTTTTCATTTCTTTTAGTCTCAGTGTGTTTCAATTTTCTCTATTCATCTCCGCATTTCCATCCTTTTATGTCTTTTGGTTGTCCAGTACTCTCCATCGGAAGTGCACACACTCTATTCGAACAACTTTCTGTCCTATCTATACATTCAGACAAGTCGTTCTTTTTCGGCGCCTTCACTGTTTGACATAAATTTTTCTTCTCTCTCTCTGTTTCGAAAATTCTCTCATCCAGGCTCTTTTTCCCTTCTCTCATCTCGTAAACTGTTGATGACTCTCTTTCTTCTTTCATATTTTTCTTTTCATTTCTCTCCCGTTCTCTCTTTTCACCTCGCTTTCATATTTCTATTTCTCTCTTTTTTCAATAGCTATCGTTCACTCTTTACTTTTCTTCACCAGCTTCGAACATTTTCCAGTTCATCTAACCTCTTCCAATTTTTGACTGCCGCTCTTTCAACTGCAAACTCTCAGAATTTCAAATGTTCTTGGGTTTCTTACTTCTTTTACCCGTAGGCAATATGTGAGTAGAGAACACACTTACGCGCATTCAAAATCACACAAAAACTCCCACATTTCTTATTGCAACATTACACTCAAACACACTCATTCCTCAGACAACAAGCCTTTCAATTAAAAAGATGAATATTGAAACTAACATTTGGAAAAATATAATTTTTTCCATCTTTCTTTCATTTCCCCGATTGTCCTCCCCCCCCCCCCCCCCTCTCTCTTTCCCCCCAGCCAACGAAAAATTCCAGTTTGCTGTCATGTACCGTTCTTTCAACGCCCTTGCATCATGAGTTTCATCTGTTCCGAATTGCGAATTCTCATATATTGAAGGTCTTTTGAAAACATGATGATTACTTGTTCAAAATGAATTTCTTTCGATGCTTATATGCTATTTCGTTCGTTCACACTTTATCTATGTTTGCCGCTCAAATGCTCTTGTGTTCCTTAAGCGTAAATTATTTTATTCACCACGCTGGCGCTCGCTTAAATTGAAGAACATCTACATTTTTTTGTACTTATCCATTGTTCAAGCAGTGTATATGAATCATATGGATATAGAAAAACATATGTTGATGACATTACGACAATATATAAACGAATATATAAGAAACAATGATATGACAACATCATAAAACAGTCTTCTGATTAGTGACAGATTTCTTTTTCTCTATACGTATCGTCTTCTTGTTAACTATATATTTCTATTTAACTATATATTTATATCATATATTACAGAAGCTATGTTAATAATCTGAAGGCGTCATGAACCTGTGCTTATTGGGATTAGAAGAGTATATTCAGGTATGTTACTATAGTATTCAGCTACAGTAGTCTAAAAGAAGCATAATGCATCTTTTGTAACTTATTAGCCTCTCAGGCATGCTAATATGAGAGCTGCGTCGAGTAAGCATAACATGCTGATTAGCCAGCTCTCTCATATTGTTACCATATATGCATATGGCGTAATCTCCACCCATTTGTCATGTATGAATCTTCAATGCCATCCACCCCCTCCTCACCCTATATGAATACTATTTATCAATAATATGATAAATTGGGGTAGAATATCTTTTATATATTTTCTTTCAACCCATACAAATAGTGTAACCAATATCCATAGCCAATGAACAAGGGAGCCAGTTGCATATCCAATGCATGTTCCTCGTTAAAGCCGCCATTTCGTTTGTTAACCAATTCCTTCAGAAGCGAATGGCATAATAATTTCTCTTAGTATACAATAATTTGCCTTAGTGCACGAGAGCGAGGCTAATTCAGGCCATTCAGTAACCAATAAACTGAAACAAAAGCACGCGAGAGGATACATTCCGTTTGGTAATGACCAAAGAAAAGCTATAGTGAAACAGCTTGTTGAAAATTGAAAAAACTTGAAGAGGGGAAAGAGAGAGGGGGGGGGGTGATGGCAAAATAGAAGCATATGGGGGATGGTTAGAAGATGGGAAAAGAGAAAGAGAGAGTATAGTTGAAGCTTGAATGAAAATCATTTGATCTCTGAAATTGAATGGTTGATGATTGTCACATAGCTTTTCACCCTTTAAATGATGAAAAACCAGATATCACCACTAGATTCAATGTACTTTTCATTTAAATTTTTCAGCAACAGGCTCAATTTCTTACACAAAACAACTCTACTAACGCTATAGAAACATCATGGCTAAACGACAGGGACGCCGTAGTAAATGGGATTCAAGCTTGTAGCGAATGCAAACAGCTGCGAAAGTATGTTTTATTTTAATATTTCATCTTCTTAAAATGATCATCCTGAAAATGAAATTCTAAATTACATTCTTCAAGCATCAAAATGATTTTTTTGCTCACAAAAATTGGTTTTTTCTTTTTTTTTCATTCCACTTTTCTTTTTCAATATCATCATGAGCTCTTTTCGTTTTGTGAACGCTGGAGTTTCTTTGCGAATGGCATTCTTTGTTTGTTTAAAAATCGTTGCGCATTTCTCTCACTCTGCTTTGAATCATCTAAGCTTTATGATTTTTTCTTTGATTGTTCATCGCAGGCGATGCTTCTGACAACAAATAAGACAGTTCATATCTTGTTCTGGTCCGGCATATTGTTCGTTTGAATTCGAATGTCATAAACTCTCTTCTATCATCATGCTATTTTGATTGCTTTTTCATAGCATCTATCTGTCTTTCTTCATTTTATCGCTGATGAGAAGGAGAGTGAGGACGGCAAGAAACGTAATGCTCTATGAAATAGCGTTATACTGAGAATAGAACTGCGTTCAATGCGTTGTGTGCTTTTTGTGAGAGAAATGAGAGAGATAGAGAGAAAAGTTTGAAAGCGAAGAAGATGATATAACATTGCGCGGGGGGTTTGCTGATTGAATTGAAGGCATTTTGAAACAGGCAGTTGAATAGTGATGCAACCGGTTCAAGGAATAAGCAATTGTTCGTTTTGAAATAACGTGAGAGATATTTATTTTATTAGTTCGCATTTCGTTATTTCAAATTCATGATCCATGCAAAAATGTAAAAATGAAAAAGAAGAAGAGAGAATTAGAAGACACAAAAAATCGATTTATAGCATGGAAAATCAAAATGCTTTGAGGTCACGCGACGTAGAACCCATTTTATGAATGAGAAGAAGATGAAAAGATCTTATGACTTATATAAGCAGATGTATCAAAAGTTTATCGCTCATACCAATCTAGAATGACGAAACTAAACTGAAAACTGATACTCTCATTCATCTAGATGTATATATACATACACATATGTATACATGAAACATTAGAAATCTAAACTATACCATATAATTGGATTTTGACGGGGAGCCCAAAAAAAGAAAAATAAATAAATATTATAATAAAACAAAAAAAAATTTTAATCTCTTTCAGGGAGTTACAAGAGATGAAACAACAGTTTGGCTCTTTAACGCAGCTGTTATGTTCATTCATACAACAACAGACGGCACATTATGCATCGTTAACATCATCTAATACTTGTACACAGTCATCTGATGCAAGTGTTCCATCATCAAATAGTACAGCTTCTGTTAATTCCTCTACTACGGTATCAGCAAATGCACCTGCAAATAGGAAACGACCTGCTGGTGTGAGCCAGCCTGAATGCCCAATTGCTCTTCGACCGGTTCCCACTACAAACAACTGTAATAGCAGCTTAGATAGATGTGATCGAAGTGTATATGTTCTTTTCAGTTATGCCTCTTCCCAATATGCTCTTTCACAATATTAATAATTGGTCCTGGAATGTACCTCCTGTTAGAATTAACTCTCCATCTCTTACTAGTAATACTGAACAGTTAGCTGGCGGACAGCCATTAGCAGCAGAAACTAAATGGAGCCCGTCTAGTGTTGATAGTAACACCGGTCAGTAGTTATCTAATTGAATAAATACTCCCATGACATTTCAGCTGATAAAACTAATATTGATATTGTTGGTTTGGATGGAAGTGAATCTTCAAGCTCTTCTGTGGCTACTCAGCATGCTTCAGCCAGTCCAGATGAAAGAAAGCCGTTCGATGATTTGTCATCATCATCGGAACAAAGCAGCGGACCTTCTTCAGGACATTCAACATCAAATGTTCTTAAGCCTGTAGTCTCCATTGCTAAATCATCTTTCTCATCTCAGGAGAAAAGAAGAGTAGGAAATGAATGAATTCTCAAAAGTACAAACGATCTGCTTCAGAAACATTCATCTGACGACTATGTCAAAATCATTAGGGACCAACAAGATCTCAGCGAGGACAGAATTGCCAAAATTCAAATTCCAGTTCCTGAAGCCGTCAAATGCGATCCCTGTACTATAATTGCATTTTCTTTCTTCAATACATCCTTCTTTTCAGCATTCCGAGCAGTTTCCGAGCAGCAAATTATCCAGCAGATGATTCAGAACAAGAAATTTGAAGAAACTCACGCTAAAGAGTCTCTAGTTCAATTATGTAAAAAGCTTGCTGAAAAAAGAGTTTTTGGAGCAAAATTGATGTCCATGACAACCGTTGCCGGTCTCAATCATTCAAATTACTCTAATCTTCCCGTGGAAGGAATTATATATATTCAACGTAATCAAATCAAAATCACGTAATCGGAGATACAATGATTATATATTTCAGACGTTTGCCGTAAAGTGATGGGAGATAAATTTGCTCGCGAAGAAGAATTCTGGGATGCATTTAGAGACGCAACGAAGAAGCTTGCTGCACGGTAAGTTGTTAGCAGATAACAATCAACGATGCTTGTTGAATTTCCAGCTGTCGAAGAGTAAGACATGCCAAAAAGACCAAGTCTCGGCATGAAGAAGAGTTATTAGCTGCCCGTGAAAATAATGTGAAAGACGAAGTTTCAACCGGTTCACCAACAACTTCCTCACCAGAATTGACAAAGTATGGCACATATATTGATTAATTGTTTATATTTCATATAATCTTTCTCTTTTCACATCTTATATTTCTACCTCCTAGCCTTAGTTTTGTACACGCGTTCTCATATATATGCTCGTTTTTGTTATTAGCTTAGTTCTCATTTCTATTCATTTTTGATTCGGTCTCCTCTCACTCTCAGGAAATATTCACATACAAACTCAGGGAAACTTGTGAATTAAACTCAGGACTTCAAAATTTCAGGAAAAACAAACATAAATGTGTAATATATATTATGACTAA